AGTCTTTAAAGAAAACTGCTTTAAAAACATAAAGATTGAATTTGTGAAATTCAGCACTTGCATTATAAAACATTAGAATTAACATAGTCCGTTTGGGATACCATTTTGTCTGTAATGGCTGTCTGCAGCTCTCTTCCTGGTTCTAGAAGGATGCTCAGAAATAATTCTTTATTCTAAAAGAAGTCCAACAAGGAGTTGAATGCACTGATTCTTATTATGCTTCATTACCATCACCCCTAATTTTCTCTTCTTCTGTCAGATGTGTGTGTACTTGCTGTTAAAATTAACAGCAGTATGGTTTTGAAAACAAAATTAATGGTGGTCTGATTACACCAAAYTGGACCTTGCTGTTACTTCCAATAAAGCTCCTTTCAATAAGTTAGGAAACATAGACCTATTTGCCTGAAATTTGTGCCTCAAAATAAAAATGTTACATTTCTAAAGAAACATACAAGTGGGGAAATATGTCCCTTTCAGGTGGTGTTTACCCTGAGCTCAGGCCCTGGTGGAATAAAAGACAGGGTGTATGTCAGCTTTGAGGAGCACATGGGTGCGACTCCTGCGTGATGGGCTGTGCAGGCAGCATCTGTGCGCGCAGGGTGAGACCTGGCAGGGGACACGAAGGAAACGACAGATCTGCACGTGGAGCTCTGCCTCTCTTCCTGTCACTTCRCTCCCGCTTCCTCGTCCATGTAGCCATTGTGACAGTAGGTTGTTTGCTACAGGACCCCTCATCAACMCAATCCAGGGTCTCCCTACACCAGGACCTATGAATTCTGTCCAAATCACCTGGAAGGCCATGATTAAGAAGAGCTTTTAATAGCTGTCCTGCCTTCTGAATGCAAACATTTTTGAATGAATTTATTGTGCTGGTAGATCCTTAAGAAACTATGCCCTCAAACGGCTCTTGAAAAACAAGCCATTTGCTTCATAATCAGGCATCAAAAGCCTGCACCACCTTGTTGCACTTGTTTAGCACTTGTACTTCAGTCATCTTTTGGAAATATCCTTTACCAGTGCTTCAGATGAAAACATCATGTTTGCACTGAATCCAACTTAATACTCACTGCCTGAAACACGCCTGACAGGTACTGCGTCCTGCTAAGAGTGACCACTGGGCAGAAAGCCCAGAGGMGTCACTGTATTCACTGGATTTCCTTTATTTGTTCTTTTACTCTTCTACTTTCTGTTTACTTTTACTTTACTTTTACTTACTGTTTCTTTTACTTTGCATCACAAACAAATGATTCTCAGGTCTCTCTAAGGCCCCCAAAATGGGTCTTAACTTTGAAAAGCAGTTAGTGAAAAACTAAAGTTTAAACAAGGCCCAATCCTCCTTAGGCAGGGGCCAAATCTAAGGAAACTACATAGAATTAGAGAGAGAGAGAGAGAGAGAGATACTGCAGTAAATTCAGATAAAACACTTGTGTCTTAGCTGTCTCCCAGCAAAGACGCAATACAGCATATACTGGATGACAAGAAATAGTCACCCCTTCGCGAAAGAGGAGAACAAGAAGGTTGCATCATTTGAACACAGCAGCAACATTAGAAATACAATTTTAGTGATGCAAATTGCAAGCACGTTACAGAAGGAACAAAATTGACCCCCCTCATTCTGCATGACCCAAGCCACTAAGATCAATGGAAGTCACAGACAAGAAATATGTAGAATTATTTATGGAATGAACACTCCAGGTTGTACATGCATATCCAACTCTGTTAAGGCACTATAACATCTAGTATCATACCCAGACTGTATTTTACATACTAGTAAGCAATAAAGCTTGAATTCCTGTCTTTTATCATATTTTTCATAAGAAATGCAAAAAATGGAAGGACCTCTTGCAAAGCCAATTTTCAGTTGCTATTGTTTTCAGTATGAAGGGTGGAGACTTCTGAAGACACAATAAACATCACAGTTTAATCAGTACCAGGAATTGACTACCAGGGAGCTCTGCTTGTGAACTAATCCATTATATAAAAGCTACTAGGAGCATTGCCCAAAACAACACCCTGCAATGCACACACGAGCCAAACAAAAACTGAAACATGTGAAAGGGCCGCTGGCACGCTCGCGATTTCAAGGCCTTTGGGGACACGGGCAAAGTTGGCCAGCAGCAGCACACGACAGTCCAGCATCGGCACSAAGCCTCTGCTGGCGGCAAGAAAGCCCAGAGCCATTAGTGTGAGCCTCCCTCGTACAGCGGCTGCCCAGGCTGTGTCTGGGCACTGGCACGGGAAAAGAAAGGAGCTTTAAGGCTGCACAGGCACCCTTTAGTTTGCACTTCTGAAAACCATGGCATTTCTAATAAGGCKGCTTTTGAACCTCCATTTACTTTTCCAGCTCATTTTGTTTCACAGCACTTTCCATCTCCTACTGGTAACTCTTGAAAGAAGCCTTTCTGAGATCAATTTGGCCTGTTAGAATTCTGTATGCTAAAACAGAATTTCTTGTCTGCTCTTTCTGTTGAAAGGCTTGAAAGTGATTTGTGGCAATCATCATAAAGGCATTTCATTGACAGTTTAACAAAGCGATCTAGAGAAGATTCATCGGGGAAAATGTTCCAGCTGTAAATTGAAAGGTGATCAGAGTTTTTCCTCTCCTTGCTCTTGAAACAAAATATTTTTTTAAGAGGCAAAAACCATTCCAAAAGCTTCTAGCAGTAGTGAAAAGCTTAGAAATGCACAGCCTAACATTTTAAATAACACTCTTCAACAGTAATCAAACACGAGAAAAGGATAAGTGGGCAAGCACCAAGACCAGAAACAAACAACTCTATTGCCCTTTTCCAGACAAACCTCAAAAACATAGCTGCCAAACCCTCCTCAATTGGAAGAGATTATTTAAAAGGTCACTATTATCACTTCATGTGAAAAATGAGAATTTTTTTTTCCTCTTTTCTCTCTGCTTTATATCCCTGGCTCTTCTCAGTTTGCTCTTTCAAATTGCTTTTCCCTGCAATTCACCTTCATCTGCTCCCAAGAAGACACCCAGGTTAGAGTATCTCTGCTGTGTCAGTCAGCGAGGTCAATGTTGACCAAGCCTGACAACACCTCTTAAAAACATTCTTCTGCAAGTTCAAGTCAATTAAACTCACTAACCAATTGTCACTATCTGTACTACAGTTAAGCACTACATATCCCCATTTGATATATTTATTCTTAAGTTGAGAATTCATCACGGCATGAGAAGTAAGTTGGCGGCCATCCTTTAAGCCTCCAGAGTTGTGTACACTGCAACACAGGCATTAACATCAACAAAAGATTTATTACCCTGATGATGCATTTTGGATGTTAGAGCCACCGCATGCAGGGTCCTTGCTTTAAATCYCAGGAAGTTTTAAACACTTAAATCAAAATAATATGCTTTCACTTAAGATTGCAGCTACTTCAGTTGAAATCTACTTCAAATATATTTACAGGATAAAGGTTTTCTCTATTCTCAACCTGAGCAAAACCATAAAGTTGATACTTTTGCAATGCTGCTTCAACCTTAGATGCCTGTCTGCTCATTTATTTYGTGTTTTCCAGATTTGCTGGTCTTCTCTCTTCTTTTGTGACTCCAATTTAGTGTTACCCACAAATATGACTGTTAATTGTTTCAGCTTTCAGATCAATTATGTTATAAAATAGTACTGAAAGTCCCTTACATTTTAGTTCTCAGTTTTTTTTTTAAATCATGTTTGTGAAACTTCAAATTTGGTGTTATATATGTTAAAGACATTACTATCTAGAAGTTGCAGCTGGTAACTACTGCAAGTTGCAAGCTSTCATTTATTGGAGACATAAAAGAAAAAAACACTTGAAATGCCAACAGAAATGGGAATTAACACAGAAAATTCAGACATCTCTTGTTAATGATAAAACATGTAGATATGAAGGACTGCACACAAGTCACTCGCTCACTGCAGAGACTAAGGGATTTATGTGAGCTAATGATATATACAAAACGATACCATCTCAGTTTAACACATCACACTGTGCTATCAAGTTTCAAAGCAACTAATGCTTCTAGCCCATCACACTCCTCTGTTCGATTTTCTTCGTAATTTTTTTCTTTACAAAGGAAACAGACTCTACACGTGTGGTATCTACCGAGACATTAAACACGTAATCCGAGAATATTAAAATGTTAAAAGTCAAGAAGAAAGATTATACTTATTGACTTAAAGACTGACTGCCCCCCTTTTTTTGGTCAGTCTTTCTGTGACTTGTTACAYATTATTTAAATGATTCAGAAACATTTTTTAAAATACCAAACATACAGTGCAGTACTCATGAAAGCCAATAACAATCTGTTTAGAGAAGACTGTACCTGGTTTCATTTTATGAACAAAAATTGTTTGCTCAGTTTTTTTTTCATTCACSAAAGATTCAGCTAATGAAAAATCCTTACATCTTTTGTTTACACATTCCTTATTATGTCAGTCTCAGTTTCCAGAGTCGTAATTTAGAATGAAATGTAAGTGAAGTTTTCAAAGTGAAGATTTTATCCAATATTAGCGCAATCATCATCGCTCCAAACCTGCTTGGGTTTTTCTTTATGTTATTTTTAATAGGATGAGCTAATGAGAATTGTCAACTATAACAAATGGCTATACTGCTTTTGCAATATTTATTTATAAAAATATTTTCATGAGCAGCTAGTCCATTCAGCTTTTTCTAGCATTTTTTTTTTTTAACATAACACAGGAATGTGCAAACTTTAGGAAGACCTAGAAAAACGTTAGAATAACTGCTGTTTACTATGATCAAATTCTACAGTGATATTTTTTATGCAGTTTCACATATAAATTTCAGCAGCTATGATGCATTAATATGCATTAATGATAAAATGTGCAGCTCTAGTGCCCTTGCACACAGTTGCACATCACTAGCTGACACGCTGCTGTGGCCAGTTCTCTGCTTAGTCAAGACCATTGCACATTTGCAACCTGCTACAGGCCCTGTGCCTGTGTTCAAAAGGCCAGGCAGGAAGCATCACCTCCAAGGGCACGTACCTTCTCATGCAATCCAGCGCCCGAATGAAGAAGTCCTTGTGAAGCTGATGCTCGTCCCTCAGGATGGAGCACTGCTCGAGCGTTACCGACATGGACGTCCTGTCTTTGGCACTTTTACAGCACGTGAAACGGATCCCATTCAGCTTGCGGCAAATCTGTAACACAGGCAGAGGTCAGGAGATGGCTCTGTTCATGTCAGATCTTCTCTGTGCCCTGGTAGACTCAGAGTCCCACAGTTTTACAATTAACAGAGGAAGTATACAGAAATGTCTATGTTTCTGAAGGAAATGCTATTAAAACACAAGAAATGAGACTGGAATGATTAAGCTGCCAACATGCGAGTCTGCAGTTAAATCAGTTACCATCCCTGCCRTGCAGGTTTTGTATTTTAAGGATTAGACCCATGCCAGCCTGAAATTAATAGCAGAAGATCTATATTCTCTTTCATCCAATTTGCACATCTTAAAAGCAGAACTTAAGAGTTTTTATTAGCAAGACCAATCTGATGTGCACATGTTTTATACTTGGACTTCAGATGAACAGGTTTTGTACAAGGTTGAGGGACCACGTGGAACAGGCAGGACGCAGAAGAGGTTTGCCACCGACAGCCCCATTCTGTGCACCACAGAAGGGACCACGTGATTTTTTCCTGTTAGAACAAGAAATGGACAGGGGACCAAATTCGAGTAAATGTGCTATTCTTCGTCCTAAGCACGTTACGCAAGTCATTGGAACGTMTGCTCTTCCTATTGCTTACCAGTCTCCTAAACATGAAAAAGTTATTTGTGCTTGCCTGGAATTTAAAGTGAAAAGTTCAGTATTTTTTCCCTCACTTTGAGGAACATCTTTTCCAATGAAATCTTAACTGTCTGAACACCTAGTAAGTGTCCAAAAATTAAGGAAGATGTTGAGAAGTCTTAACTCCACAGAGATGCAGTTCCCTCCTGAGATGTGGATTCAGGCATATCTATGTATTCGCTTAACATGCATTCCTTACTTTCAACACCAAAACCATTGCATGAGCCAACAAAAATGGTGCTTAACGTGAATAGATGCCAGGGAATTGCTACTTTTCGCTGAACATTTTGACAAAATTATGGGGGAATCAGTAATTTTCTTGGATGGTTTGCGGCCTCAGTTTGGGTAGGGAGTGACGGAATCCCGGACCTCGGCTGGGGACGCAGCACTGCAGTGCTGGCTGGTAAGAATCAGCTTGGAACTGCACAGCACGCCGGGCACAAGCAGCAAATGGCCATGTCCACATGCTGGCGAGCTTGTTTTGCATTAAATTCAGAACAAATGGCTCAATCATTTCTAAGTGGATTAAATGGACTACAATCTGCTAAATTAAATAAACACGTTAAAAATCCTTAGCTTCTGATGTAAGGAGAAATCTAGGTCAGCGTAGTAAGACTGGCTCAGATAAATCAGTCAATAAGCTGCAGCAGTTAAAGTAAATAATTAAAAYGGGCAAACACAATGATCAGGTGGTCAAGAAATCTAATAAGGGACAATGCCAAATCTGTGGTGATATCAGAACACACAGCTGATGATAATTCTCCAGATTGAATTTTATCCTCAATTTGCTCACTTCATCCCCCAAATGCACTGAAGATATAGGGRGAAAAGAGGACAAGAACTATAACCAGAAGCTTAGAAAGTGTCTTATAGGAGAAGAGATTTAAATGACTAGGATCGTGGTTAACTTCACAGAGGGATGACAGACACATAAGACAACAAAGAATAAAACAGGGACAAAAATCAGTACTCTGATCATTTTTCTTCATATGAAACATTACATCAAGGGACCAGCTTAGCAAAGAAAATACGTGAAGCTCATGAAATTAAATATTTTTTCTATACTACATAGTATAGAGATCCACAGATATCACATATGTAGCACTCTAAAAAAAYAATTCAGGATTTTAGTAGGAATCTAAAAGGAATCACTGTTATTGATAATGAGGGTATCTAACTGCCTTAGATAACAGAAGAGAGATGCTCYGTTGGGCTTTTCAGCCTATTATCTCAGTCCTGTTATATTTAGACTAAGAAGTGTTTATGATACTACCTTGCAACAGATGACTTATAAATGCAGATGTACTGTGCATTCTCACAGTCCCACTCATCATGGGTTCACACAGGTGTGCACAGTGCCTGCACATGCACATCCATCATATGATATGTGCAGCCATACACGCATACTGCAGTAACCCAGTGATATCCTGGGAATTGTGCCTTTCCAATATCTAAAAGTAACATGGCAGTATGCATCTCAAAGGGTCCAGAAATACTCCTTTCAGAATTTCAGCTTGAAGAAAAGAGAAATAAGGAAAACCCAATACAGTAAAGGAAATGCTTGAAATAGTTACATGTCAAGAGAACAGTTTTTACCCATGAAGTTATTTTCAGAAAAGCTGAATGGATGGYAAATAGCAACTCGCTATGCCCAAAGATTAAGTAAGTTCTGTCATATTCTTTACGGTTTATTTTACAATATCCTACATTGATTTATCTTTTCTTTGAAAAAGAATGTTTCATAGTAATTGTAGAACTGSTACTGCGGAAGAAAGCTTTTATTTTTACCCACAACAGATGTATATTACAATAGTATGTGATAAAACTTTTTTAAGTGCAAACTGGTATTAATAATATATAACATGTAATTGTTACACTGTTATTAATGCAAAGACTTTTCTTTGTCATGTGGCAATTATTTTCCTGTCCTCAGCGCCAATGGTAAGCTATACAAACCTTTACTAATTCTGTGTCCATTATTTATTCCCCTGGAAGATGAATATTCTCCAGAACAAAAGGTCTTCCATTTCAATTTCTTTAGCTACCCAGGGCCCAAACGTCTGCTTATCTAAATAGGCTTACTTCCCAAGAGGCAACAAAGGCAGTTTTCTAAAACTAACGCAATTACCTTGCTGAATTTCACATTCCTGAAAAGCTAGAACTCTTTTTAACATCTGTATATTTTATATATTTGTGCAGTGACACAGAACTGGGAAATAAAAAGGAATCATGTGAATAGAGCCAAGTAAATGCTACACATTAATAAAGTTTTTCTATTTATGCCTCTCTGGGTCTGACTTTCTGCCAATTTCATATCTGGCTGATTGTGTTGCACCAACTGCCTTCRGAGTGGCTGTCACAGTGACACTGGCTAGAGAAGAGTGTAATGGGCAGTGTGCTAAGCGATCATGATTTACTGATGATTTTAGACACTTRCATACAAAGATAAGTGCTTTAAGTGCAAAGATAAGTGCTACATAGAATTATAAGTGTCAGATGTGACAACATTAAACAAAATCCCAAACAAGCGATCATTTCTTACATCATACCGTGGGGCTTTACAGACCCTAAATAAAAGAGGGAAGTWGTTCCGAGTAGCTCAGGTTTGTATCAGCACAGAGGGGGTTTCGAGTCAAAGGGGCGCGCAGCGGCTGCGCCGCACGGGGCCCGGGCACAGGGGGAGCGCAGGCGCGCAGCGCGGCCCTGCCACCCGCAGCCCTGCGGCCCGCCTGCCTTGCTGGCTGCTCACAACTGTGGCAACGCCGGGGCAGCTGCCGGGGGGACCAGACGCCTGCCAACAGCCCCTTCCTACGCAAATGCTTCCTGGTAATTCTGCGCGTCCCAAAGCACTTCACCAGACTTTGCCTCAAATAATAATTCTTTCAGGTTGGTGAGGTGCTGCGTGCTGAACTCAGGTGAATAAAGGTGAGAAAAAAAAAAAATCTCTTAACGCCATTCAGCTCTGACSAGTTATGAAAAAAACTACTATTTATAATTTAAAGGTAGGAGGAGGAAACTATTCCTGAGTAGGATAAACAGGTCATCAGAATGGCAGGGTTAGAAGGCTGTTTCAGATATCTATGTACTTCTGGCATCAAGCTTTGCAAGTACAACCTTAAAAATATATTGTTCTTACAAAATTGAAAGGCATGTGAAAATTAACTGATCATGTGGTAGTAGTTAAGGGAACTTACCATCGCAGCCAGCCACATGATTTCTACATTCTTTCTCTTTTTGGCCTGGATATTTTGATGGAGGTTTTCTAGTAATCCCTTTAAGTCATTTTGTTCTTGAAAATGTGGTAGGCCTGAAAGGAAGAAAACACTTGATAAGGTTGCAAAGGCTAAAACATTTCCTTGTTAACAAGYTCCTTTATCATTTAGGAATGATAGAATAGAAAGTACTGGCTTTTAAGGATTAAGCACATTTTCTGTCCGACCATAGGACCGCTTCCCCCCAAAGGCTCCCCAAGGAAAATACTAGGTGTCATTTAAATGGTAAGCAAAAATCAAATTTTTGTTCCAACTCTGTTCATCAACACTTAAAATTATGAGTAGAGAAATACCTGATTGTATAGAGAGTTATTTTGAGGGGATGATATTTTATTTTGAAGTCAAAATATTTTGCTTTGTTTTCAAAAGCAAAATTTGAGAGGCTATTGCTCAGTCTGAAATGAATTGGGGCCTTAATTTCAAATTATAAAATAATTTCAGGTTTACTCAAAAGATGTAGCGTAACCTACTTGGCTCTGAGTTTGGCAGATAAGCTGAAGCTTTCATATATATGTATATATATACATACAAGGACAATTCAGGCAATTTAACTGTTTCTTCTGTTTTGTGTATACAGAGGGTTCTGTTTTAGTATTATCTCTATTGTCATTAATACTGAAAATCAGTAAAAACAGCCAAAATCAAAAATTTCTCAGAGTGCCCGATTTTTTTCCTCAGTGAGAAAAATACATTGTCAAAACCACATTTTATCAAAAAAAGTTTTAAAAGTATATGATCCAAGAGTTGTGTTCAGCTAAGAGCAAAGACTAAACTATTGCAATGTCAGTAAAAACATTCTCTTAAACTAATCATGGCTAGAATGATACTTTATATAGAGAGATAAACTGTCATTTGTGTATTTAATAARTGCTCTAATTTTCCCTAACCATAATTCATAGTGAGAAGTAATTCAAAAATACACRAAAAGAACTGTACTAAAAATGTCTAAGTTGCTTCAGCCATATGGTTATACAGCCCACAAACTACAAAAAAGTTACTTAAAAAATAGCTGTGTAAAAACTTTAATGAAGATTTTTATTTCCATAGTATAATTCCTGATTATGTAACACACAAAAACATAGTGTAACCTATAAGGCTATTATACTCAATCCTGTCTCTGTTTCTTGAGAGCACAGTGCAAAATAAGTACACTAAAAAGCTGCTTCCAAATTATGAGAACATGTCACCAGGCAAATATTTTACTGCTTCAAAGTAGCTTTTCTTATGTTCTCAGGAGAACAAAAATCAATCATTCTGGAGAAAGATCATTTCAGCTCAGGTAAAGCAAGGTTCTCTTAATATGCAAGAGAAAAACACATGCCAAAAAAGCTGCATCTTGACTAGCTGTGACTGCTTAAATTGCTTATATCACAAAGCAGTATTAAATTGTCAGATCACTCTCCACAGATTATTTTAAAAGGAAGACGCCTGGCAGCACAGACCAGACTCGCAGGCTGACTCACTGACTGCTCCAGAGCACCGAAGCTGTACCTGTTCACAGGCTTTGGAAACGCATCTCAAGTGCCACATCACTTTCCAACACAGACACTGCTGCTGTCGTTTGGCAAGGCCAAAATCATCTGCATTAATCTGCTGCTAATCACTTAAGCCACGTTCCAAGCAATTCTTTATAGTTACATATATATCACTAAAGTCCTATGTTCTTGTATTTGGTGCCTAACAGAACTACATTTTGTCAGAATTTTGGTAGGACTTTCTCAAAACACRTTATTTGTTGTTTTCAGAGTCAACAGAGAGCTAAAGAGACTGGGAAGAAAGTGACTGAAAGAATTCTATATTCATCTAAACTCAGGTGGAAAGCCAATGTCTGCCATACGCAGGTATGTGCAATTAAAGAGGTTTAATAACTAGAGGAACACAAAGGAGGCTACAGCATAACAGAGGCTGGAGATRAGAGGCCAGGGAGAGGCTGCTGTTAGTGTTGTGCTGTCTCTGGGSGAGCGGGAGCCTGGGTTTTTGCATCACCAACGGAAGCAGAGGCGAGCGAGGCAGCCCACRGCAGGCACGGGCAGCCACTCAGCCAGCGGGGCTGAGAGTCCTCACAAACCCTACCTGGCTTTACAAGCACAACTGCTGACCAAACACTTCAAACTGGGTCAGTCACTTGGTAGCAGAGATTTGGCACACAGGAGACTGTGGGGGAGAAGTGCAATAAAGCCATGAGGGAGCCATCGACACCGGGCAGCTCGTGCTTGGCTGGCTCAAAGCACAGGGCTKCTGCCAGCTTGGCAGCACGGGGGGACACGGAGGTGTCCCTTCCAAAGGATTTCTGCAAGGAGCAGGGCAAGGAGTCCAAGTTCTCCCCTTGCCAAACACCGTGGAAGATTTTCACTTTACTCCAACTTCATATGTGAAACTCACTGCGGGAAGGCTAGGAGGGCGCTGGTTTAAAATGCCACGAAAGTGACTATAACAGCATGGAGCAATCAGGCWGTATAAGAGAGGCAGAAGGTGCTTTGGGTTCTGTAAAAATTGACACCAAAACCAGGAGCTTCATTCTCCGAGCATGAAAAAAATGCAAGGCAGCATTCATAACCAAGGAGAGACTGTGCAGCTCCCTCAGCAGCCTTCTGGGGAAGGCAGTAAAAGGTGAGTTTGTGTTAATGGAAAGGAACAAATACTATCTGCATGAGTATTTTTTATTTTACAAAATGTGCCTATGAGATAGCAGATCTACCTTAGACCTAATCCCAGATGAGGTTACTTTTCCAGGATGAATCCTTGGCAGGATTCCCCTAAATTAATTAACAACTTATGGTAAGTGTTTTTCTGTAGAAATATCTAAGGATATGTATTAAGGATGTGGGTAGATGGATGGGCACACTGCCCACCCTTTAGAAATAGGGCACTCACTCCTGTTCATGCCATTAACAAATAAAATTCATCATGATAGAAATGCAAAGCATATACAAATAATGCAGCAATACGTTAGATAGTGATGAGTGCACGCAAGGAATAATTTTTGCCYATAGCAAGCATTTTAATGGGTAAGAAAGAAGTTTTAATGCTTAAARTGCAGTTGACAGAACACCTTAGAAAGATCTGCTTTATATCAGATCTTAACGAAGAGTTTTCACCATGAGGTGTYATACATGCGCCTAAGTCCTGCAGCATGAGCCAACTTTTACATTGAGAGAGTTACTCAAAAGGAAGGGRTAGAGACTGAAGCCCAAGCTATTTAAAACTAAGCTGTACACTTGGGAATATAATTCAGACCATAAAATTGCTTTAACAGGATTAGATGAAGCAAAGGGTGTTTTTAGTGTTTGCTTTAAAGCACAAAAGAAATCATGAACAGTATGTTTATGATACCAAACTTCTCTAAAACTTGCATATAGGGACTCGTCTCCTGAAAGTGTGCTATTAATAATAGTGACATGATGCTAGAGCTCACTGCTGGTATCTGTATCTACAGATTTCTCAGCAGTTTACCATACCTTAATGCATGCTAAAAAATAAGAGTGGAGGGAATGTCTGAAGCTTCTGCAAAATCCTATGGAKTATTTCTGTACAAACACCGGGAGCAGGGACTGTCTTCTAGTAGAGACTTGAATTATTAAAATGCATACTGCATTAATAATTTAAAAGAGCTATTTGGTTGCTCATTAGTGCATTTCCTTCTCACTGGCCCTTCTGCTATGGCCATGGGACTGCAACCCCTACCCACTTCATGCAGACACAAACTGCTTGTTTTTTAGACTTAGGCCTCCATCCCATGAAAGACACGCATCAGTAGCATGCTGATATTAATTTATTAACGACCTTTTGTCTACTGAACATTTCAAAAAGCACTACTTATTTCATACTCACAATCAGGAGGCATTTTTTCTGTAAACAGCTTGTAATATTCTTTCAGAAGTTCGAAGTTTTCCTGGTTAATGTTTTCCTGCAAAGTGGTATCTCCAAACCTAAAAAGGAACAGAAAAGTGAGAAAAAAACAAAACTAAAACACCAAGTCAAATAACGCCTCAGAATACTTTCTTTGCACAAATAAAGTACTGTTTTGAATCTAAGAGATTTTATCAGAATGYAGTTACAAATCTCATGTGCACTTTGGAGCTAATATTTGGGAATAAAATAATCACCCATAGATATTTCTTCCAAAAAACATATGGACAAAGTCATATCTTTGCAGACAACCATTCAGTAAAGCACAAATCCTTGTTTAGCACTTGTAAAGGGAAAACTTGCCAGCCAACTATTGTGTGCTGCAGGAGTGCTCTGGTCCGAGAACATGTGCTGCAAATAGTCRCACTGATTACTTCCCCAGGCCCTTTTGACCAGGTACTGCTCCTGAACTGTTAAATTTTCCTCACTTGCCTGTATCTGAAACTGACAAGAAAACTGATGAGAAACTGATGAGAAAACCCGCCTGGATGCCACCCTGTGCCACATGCTCTGGGTGTCCCTGCTTGAGCTGGAAGGTTGGACTAGATGATCTCTAGAGGTCCCTTCCAGCCTTGATGATTCTGTGATTCTSTAATTGTTTTCTCTGGTATTGAACAGAGAATGAAGGAGCACAGAAAGAGACATGGACAGGTAAGAAATTCAAGTAGACCAAGAGGGAGACAAATCCAACGATACTAAATGTGCTGCTACAGCACATAGAAGGGGATCAAGTTCTAAGATTGCCCAGAAAGTGAAGAAGACTTGGCTACTCTATTGCTGCCCTGCTACATGAAGGTATTTATTTTAAATCACCTTTTAGCCACAGTTTCCTGAAAACAGAGATGTTTGGATCTTAAAGGAATATTCTAGCAATTTATCACAAGATGATGTTTTATTGCCACATTCATTCTCCAAGAAAAGATACCTTTTTGATGAAATTATATGCAGTGTTTCCAATGTCGAAAACAAGTGCAAAGCCTTAACCTTCAGATGCCAAATGGCAACTGTGAAAAGTCTCCCATGAACATCTACAAAGCTACGAGATGGCATCTGTTAGAACTTCTTAAAAGCTGTCTTACCCAGCAAGTCAAGCCCCTCTTGTGCTTACGTTACTGCCTACCACTCAGACTGAAGTTTTTTTCAGTGTCTCCCTGTATTGCTCGCCTACATTTTGATTCATTTTGGCTTTGAAAATGTACAGAATGCAATCTGAAGTTATGCACTGTGCCTCTGAGGGGCTCGTGCTAGAACCAGTAACCAATAGCTGCCTTTTTGCAGATGTCAGCCTTGCAATCTTAGCATTGCACAAACTAGAATTAACACAACCCACTAACACCATCCCTTTGGGAGAGAAAATTAAAAGCCTAATGAATCTCTGGCTGAAATTTGGTTAATTACCTCAAGTAATCTTTCCAGAGGAGTTCTATTTACACCTTGGAATTTTAACACCATCCTTCAAGTTTCTAGGAATACATTACATACGTATTCCATATAATTAACTATCCCTCCTCAATCCTATAAGATTAAACAAAGAAAAATGTTCTCTTTACAGTTTGAGACTTTTCTAGCAACTTCAGATGTGCCTCTGGCAGATAATAAATAATAAATTTTGAATTTTAAAACTTGTGTTTCAAAGGGTCAAAATTCTGCACAGTAATAAACTTCTACATCTGTGAACTAGAGATCCATTTCATAGCTGCATCCAAGGAAAAGTTGGTCTGAACTGTTAAAATGAAGATGTGATATATGAGGGACTTTATTTGATTTCTGTTACTTTTCATTATTTCATTACTTCATAGCTTGTGCATCCTTTAATTCATTTTAAATACGTATCAAGTGAACCCGAGATAATAGTGAATCGAGTGAACCTGAATAATAATAAAAGGCTTGCTTTGTAATCTRGTGAGAAATATTCTGTGCTAGCCCAGCATCCTCAACTAGAAATTGGCGTTTTTCTGAAGGTGTCATCTTACCTCTCTGCAAGTGTTTGCTGCTCGTTGATTCCAACATTGAAGAGCACTGGATACATGCGAAGCAGCTTCCCCTCTTTGATCTCTTGTGGCAGCAACTCAAACATCTTTGCTGGAAGCTGGACCTCTATAACATAATGTTCACTAGGATAGGGAAAAAAAGTGGGAATATTGATTCCTTTGCTTAAAATTGTAACTTCCCTGGGCCACAGCAAATGTTTAGGCTTATAAATCAATTCCCCTGCTCCCTTCTATTGTGCTAAATTGTAAAATGTGAAGATTCAGCTTGTTTATTTAAGAGCATAACAAATTTATATGGAAATAGGCAGGTATATATAATTATACTCTCTAGCTTGCTACCAACTTCTGTGCAAAAGTGAAAATAGAAATAAAAGTTAAAAGTCTTCTGCTTCTTTACCACTCTCTACCAAAATGTCAGAGAACACCTCACAGCTCTTAACATGCATTTTCTTTGAGCTATAAAAGCTGCTTCCTTTCAAGAAGCCACAAAGTGATCCTTCATAATGGCCCATACTCAGCAAAACCTCTGCTTCAAATCCGGAACAAAATTCTAATTTTCTTCAATGTCTGGATTTTCTCTGCACAATTAAAAAGCATCACCAATGCCAAAATGGATTCCAGAAAGATAATAATTAAAGGCGCTGGTTCATTATACAGACTCGAGCTCTATTTTGAAAGAGATTTGATACAACCGTTYGGGTTTTGTGTTCGTGGTCAGACGTTATGAAACACGCTTCACTTGGGCTGTCAGTCCAAATTTTGTTTATSACCTTTGCTGTGAAACCCTCCGGTTTCACCTGCCTTTGAGGAGCAATGCCTGACCCTACGCGACAGAAACAACAGCATGCTATTAACTTTGTCCTTCCATTATTAGAGTCTAATAGAGGAAGAGATTAAGCGCCGACCTGTTTGCCCTCAGGATCCAGCATTTTGATCATTTGAAGAGGGCTCCATGCTAAAGGAGACTGACGCCTGCAGAGCCCGCTTACGGATGACCAACAAGAGCAGCACCTATTACAGCAGCACGGGGAGAAGGACCCGTCTCCCCCACACAGACACCAAGCCTGGGTTTTCACACAAGCTGTCAACATGCGTTAAGATWGAAAGGAAGATGTGAAGTCAAAACAGCAAAACGTAGTTATCTCTGTTTAAAGAATACAGTTTGCATCAATTGAAAAGATCTCTCACTGTTCCTCCAACGCTTACTTGTTCACCAAAGAATTAAAATACAAGCTGCAGTACCGACATGCAGACTGTAGGGGACAAAAGGCAGAAATCCTTGCAGAAGGACTGCCCTGGCTTCGACACCCAGGACCAGCTGGGTTGTCCTGCATCCCTGCCTGGGAGCAGCTGTTTGGAGAAACAGCTTGAATTTAGGAGAGCTACTGGCAGCATCTGGACCTCTGTCCTGCCCACAGATCCGAGAACCCAAAAGCTGGTCCAGCACCATCCATGTGGGTTGGAAGTGCAATTACAGTCATCTAGCGCAATGGCTTATTTCTTGGTGGGGTTTAAACCAGCAAGTAATCTTATAGCAAGTACAAGACACTCCCTGCTGAGGTATGTGCCTTAATTATGAAGGAARGGGAAGGCAGTGCATCTCAGAAAAGGGATTATAAAAAATGGGAAAAAAAAAAAAAAAAGGACAAAGCTCCGCTCCCTGCATAAGTCTCTCAGGTGAGCATTTTAATTCATCCATGTGAAGGAAAGAGCAATGACAATAGTAAAAGCATCCTTAAAAGTGAACCTGGCTTAGTGACATCCCTTCTCAGCCCACACGTCACTCTCCTGGCTGCTGTCATGTGCTGCCCGAGTGCATGTGACAGAGAGCTTCCAGGGGTTCAGAAGAAGCCTTGGCTTTGTCCARTTTAAAGACCGTGTGCCACTGAACCAAAAATGTGACTAAACCAAGACATTGCTACATTTCAGCCCCCAAATCACTACAAATCTTTTCAACATGTGGAAAAGCACTGAGAAATGCTGACCTTCGGGCATAAGTGAACTGCAGTACCATTTTAAGAGCTTCCCTTTGCACATTCCACATWTTGCACATGGATTTTCAAGTCTCAGGGATACTCTGTTGAGAGCTACCATCCCTCCATCATCCTAACTTTAAAAATGTATGACCAAATGCACAATGAAAACATCGCATTTCCAAACAYTTGGGGGAAGAAAAAAACACTATTGTGAGGGAGAACTACTGAGAGCGCTGAGTGGTAATAGTGAAGTCAGGCAAAAAAATCCAAATACCAAGACCTGTAGAAATAATTAAACACTAGTTCACCCAAGCTTTAGAAGTCCTARAATTCTACGTAATTCTTGTCACATACAGTTGCTACATGCTACATGTGCAACTTATGGCATAACCATGCCAGGTGGTTTTGGCATGACACAGGTGATAAGGCTGCTACCTTTTCCAGTGAGAAGATGACTTGGCATAAAATCATCAGCTTCTTTTTAGCTTTTAACAATAGCTGAAGAAGAGAAAATAGTGAAAACCCTGATGTACTCAAGAGGGTAATAATAAAWCCCTGTTTATTTCAGGACTCATTAAATTCAGGTATTGCATATTTAAACACATCACTAACCATGACTGCTTAAGCACACTGCTGGCTCTGACTTCCCTTATGCTCTAGTGTTTGCTCCCTCCAGGCAGGAGAAGCCCAGAGGGTCCCTCACCGCTGCGTCGGGACGCGGCACCTCACAGCGGCTGCAAGCGCTCACGTCRCCGTGGCCAGCACAGCACCAGGCCTCGAGGGAAGCTCCGTGCCTCACCYGTGAGCTGCTTGTCCTGCCTTGGTTCTTCTTAGTGACTCCTTTCTGAATCCCTTCAGTGTGACTCTACACGGCTTGCCCGAGCACACTCTTGGTTCCAAACATATTAAAGCTGTGCAGTGCCTCAAAGTTCAAGTACGCAAACGTGTTAGCAGCTTTCAYGTGTCAAGGCAACTTGAACGCTGGAGCTAACCTGCATTCTGCCTGCGTGCCAGAGGCCAGGCAGCCCAGCACGCTACTGCTCCCCACTAGACCCTTCTCATACACTTCTTTAGACAGTAAGGACTTGGGCTTGAGCACTTCCCTGGAAAGCAAGTTACAAGTGAATGCTCTGACTCTGCAAAATAGCAACTGGCAGATTAATTTTCTGTCTTGACCTTCTGCAATATTTCTCACTTTGCTCTATAAAAATCACTTCCCAAAACAACAAATAAAATGATCTGAAAACTGATTTTTTTCAAAACTCAAAATTCACAAATAGCCAGCTGCTCCACTACCTTCTCCTTTTATGATTCATTTCCAAAGCTCTCTGACAGGAGCCGTCTCGTCGCAGCCGTAGCAGTAATGAGCCTCCACAAGAGCCTTACAGATTTCTTTTGCCGCTGCTACCATTTCAGTGCTCAGTGAAGACCTGTCGTACGTCCAGTACAGCAGTCACAGGCAGCAACTCTCCTCCCTGAAGACTGACTGCTCCATCAATCTGTAATGCCTGAGGCAGCTTAAAGCTCGAGTCTCTCTGAAAAGCAGGACCTCCCGGTGTGACAGTTCAGCTCCCACCACCGTGGCGGCGAGCCAGCAACTGTGGCTGCAGGATGTTTCAAGGATTTTGACCAGTGTGATTTACAAAGGATGCATTTCTGCCTTTTTTTTCTTCCCCTCTATACACTGTAATTATTCCTAATTATTCCCCAATGTGTTACCTATCATCTGCTAGCCTCCCTGCTATTCATTGCAATCTCTTCTCAGAAGGCACATAGGATGAAAGTGAATCATCCAGAATCATTAAATAAATTAGTGGTGAATGCTCCCTTCAGAGAAAACATATATTTTCTAAAAGTTGCTGCTTTTAGTCAAATTCAGTTTATAGTCATTTTAAGAATAATGATACTATTAGGGATGTGATCTCTGCAACACTAAGAACATTCAGAAGTTCAGACTAGAACAATAACAAAGTCAAACAACGCAGTCGCCATATACGAGTCTTACAACCACAGCTAATGAAGTATTTCAGTTATGTCCTGATCTTCACCATTGCTCATGTGAAATGCACAATATCAGTCACTCTGTGCCAAGATTTCAAGTACTACATTTCCTACGTGCCCCTCAGCAGATGAGTTGGCTTCATTGCCATAATTTTTGGCATCCTAATTTTTTCAGTTCCCATCTTTAGACAATAAAGGCCCTACTCTTGCAAATGCTCTGCCATTTGTCACACTGAAATATTAGTCCTGGACACCTCAAAACCAAAGTACCTTTAGTTGGAGGACACTTGTATAAACTCAGCCTTGCTTCTTTGTGATTCAGTGTCTGGATATGCAGGACGCAACGAAACTCAGCACACAAATAGGAAACTTCTACAATTAGTTTGTATTAACAACTGCAATCTTTAGATCCCTCACATCAGGAAGGTAGCAGGGAGTCCATGGGACTATTACGAGTTCCCTCAGTCTTAACTTACATTCCCTAGATCTCCATGTACTCCAAGCTCTAGGAAACAGAAAATTCTTACCGTCTTCCCGTGATAATAGGCAAAAAATCTTCTGATTTAGCTTCAATGATTTTAAACATTACTTTCTGCAAATCTGAAATTCCCACAGCCATGTCTTCCAGCATACCTGCCTCTTCACCTGCACAGAAAGATCAGAGGTTAACGGTGACTGATCAGTCACCAAACAGGTTACAGTATGGCAATACAGGGATTATATTTGCCAATCTATGCATCTAAAATCACATCCCTAAATCCACCCTGAAGGAGCCTACATGAAAACAGAATGATTTTCAGAACTGTTGACAGTTCTCTGTGGCCCAAGTGATAGCTATGAGAGCTAAGCACTCCTGAAAATGAGCCTGCTACATATAGGCATAAAGAGAACTTTTCAGAAAAAAATATTGTCCATTCCAAAAGTGTTTTTAAAAGACTGTCCTGTTAGAGAACAGAGGTTTTCAGAACAACAGCAACCTCAAAATCTGACAGCTGCCTCAGAGCAAGCATGTGCTAAATCCTGCTCCTTTGGTCAAATTCTCCATCTGGGGAAAGGATTTCAGCACACCTAGTTGAAAGTCTTTYGAAGTATACTGCAATTGCTGTCTCCCAATGTCCTTTCAAATAGCTATCAGACGATGGCATCTGTAACAAGTTGGGAATTAAATAGTTTTCAGGCTGGCTTCACATCACCAACACTGACAGGTGGTTTCCAGAAGTGATGGGACTAAGGTTTACAGTCAGTAACTCTTTAAACCTGCTATTTGCATTACCTTTATAAACCTGATGTGCTTAATGACCACACAAGCATAGGCTTTTTAAATTAAGAATAAAAGCTCCCCTAGCTGTACTGATGAAACTAGTGCTGTGTATGGAAGGCAGAGCAGTTCAGTACACTCTGGAACAGTCAGCATTCTGAAAGAAGTCAAAAAAAATCAAACACGAATAATTTTGGATGCAGAATTCACATGCAGCACAATACCAACTGAAGTGGAATACAAGTTAAAAGAACCTACCTAGTTTGCATGTATAAGGATCTTTGTTCAAGAGCAATACTTACTATATGTACTGAGGAGTCCTTCATACTGCACAAGCAATCCAACGGTATGAAGCTGCTGCAAAAAGCCTTGATCATGTAAACCTGTGTGCAGCTTGATTATAAAGCCACAGACCAATCCAGCAAGCTTTAATGACAGTGAGAAAAAAAGTGTGAAATTAACAGATGAGCTAAAATTGAAATGAGGCTTCCCATCAATGTGCAAACATAAGAACATTCAGGTATTTGAGAAAACAAGAGATATTCAATGAYTATATCCTTCACCTCCTATTAAAATGTTACTGATTCATTTTGTGGTATAAAAGCCAGCCAAATATTTCCCTATTTTGTATCAGAGAAATTTCATTTGTTTCTTAGGGTTATATGTGATTTGCACGGGCATAAGTGAGATCAGATTCTCTCCAGGCAAGCCAGTAAGCAGCACGGCTGTGACTTCTGAGGGATTTAAAAGCAGTTAAGGCACCTAATGCAACTGGAACTGCTTGGTAGCTCTACCTTAAGTTATGTGGGAAAACCAGTGAAGCTTATAGGAGAAATGAGAGCAATCATTTAGAAACTATCTATCTGGAAAACACAATCTACAGAGAAAGATGGAAAGAACTTAAGTTATTTACCAAGTGAAGACAAGTCTGAGATGAGACGTGATAACAGACTTCAAAGACAAAATATTGCTGCAAACTAAAAGGGAATAATCTTTTCTTCACTTCCAAGGCAAGCAGGAGAAAAACAAAGTATCTGGCTCAAACGACAGCTAGAAATACTCTTGTTGGACTTCAGAGAAAAAGCATCCTGAGGAGGAGGAGAGTTGGAATATACTGGAATAGAGGACCTGGGAAGACTAAAAATAGCTGTTCAGGCCCTTCTTTATGCAGAGGGAAAGGATTAGGTAACCTCTTCTGGTCCCTTCCAGACTTTCTATGACTCACTGATTCACTTAGAATTTTCATCTACTATTCATTTCTCTTTCCCAGGATAAAATATTTATGTGGATACATGACAAAGTTGTTTAAAATTGATCCCCCAGCCCCACAAATACTGTCACAAACTCCATTTTAGCAACACCAGTAATGTTGAAGCACCCCCACAGTGGGGAACTAAGCGGCACGAGACAACCTACCGCTTGGCTAAAGACGATGTCTCTCCTTAGGGTCAGCATCAGACACTGGGGCAGACCGCACGCCAGTTCCTGGAGCAGGACGAACGTCATGGACTGCTTCGCCCTGGTCACCACCTCTGCCATGCAGTCCTTGAGCGTAAGCACAAGGGGGTAGAGTTGTTCATACCAGTCACCTGGAACGAGACGCAGCAGGGGCTGCAGGGCTGCACGGAAACCCTCGCCAGGCCGGCGAGGGGCTGCAGGCCCACGCGGAGCCRCCAGCGCCGCGACCCCGCGGCACCACCCAGGGCTTGCTCGCAGGAAGGGTTAGAGCTTTGCACCAAGACTGGGCATAAACCCTTGGCCTAAACCCCAAAATATGCCAAACCGGTGACTTCCTAAGGCCAGCCTAGTAACTCTGTGCAACTCACACCCAAGTATGGTTCACAAAGCACAGAGGGAGACACGCGAAAAACAAATTAGCACAAGATGAACGCAGTGGAGAGGGGGATCTCCTGTTCTTTCCAGGACCAACATCCTTACTACCCAAACAAATAAAGAGCGGGCAGGAGCAGGGCAAGAGCCCATATTGAAGAGCAACTGGGTGCTGGAAGGCAAARCAAAAGATCGAGCAGCCATCTGGGAAGAATATTATCTGCTTAATGTACAGGCTGGACAGATAGGAACCTTCAGGTCACACTTCCATTCTTTTTTAGCTTCTCACTATCTTCTCTTTAAATATTTAGAGATATTGAACTCATTTTTTTGAGTTATTCTGAGCAGACAGACATAATTTTGTAATATGTTTTGCTCTGCTGTTAATGTGGATGTTAAGTAATATCAAAAATGGATTAGTGCAATACTTGAAACATGAGATTCCTTAAGATATTAAAAATTAAATGAAAAGATAACTAGAAATGAACAAAAGCTTCTTTCAGCATTTAATAAACAGACCTTCATTCACACTGCAGATGGTTTTGCCCATCCCTGTAAGTAAAACAATAAAAAAAGCTCCCAAATAAAGTCATAATTTACAATTATAGTTTAGCATATTTTTATAGTTTAAAATAAACACGATCAGAAGAATCTTAATTCAATGTAAGGAGTAAAACCGATTTAATACTGTCCATTACTAATGCAGGTTTCTTTGGCTATACTATGGAAAATGCAGAAAYGAATAAATTGCACCCACCCAAGCAGACTAGAGACACCTTTTAAAGCTAGGAGAAGCTGTAACAAATAAGGCAAATAAAGGAGGACATAGGGGCAAGGTCAGAGCAGTCAGAGCAATTTGAGTTGCTTTGCATACACTTGGTGGTCAGACACAATGTTTTTTAACATAGTAAAACATATTGAAGAAATGCCAGCYGGAGAAATGCTCCCTGGAAAACTGCAAGTATGAAAAAATATAGGGTTATCAGGAATAAAACAGACAAGCTGTCCCCAGTTCCATTCTAAAGCAAAGTGAGGTAATTTTATATATGACACTATTCAAAAAAAGGGAGGGTGTGCAGAAGAAAACTACCAAGATTTACAATTTGATCTTGTTAAACTTATCAAAAAGACTGAACAGCAGCTTGTTTTCTCTTCTTCATGAGGAACAAGTAGCAAGTATTGAGGTGATCTTTATTTCTAGCAAACAGAAACGCATCAAGAACCAAAGGCTGTAAAAGGTGATACCAGACATGAACATTCAGAAATAAGGCAGATACTTCTGGTGATGAGAAATTGAAGTACTGAGGGAAGTGGCAGATTCTCCATCTCTTAATATCTTTGAAACAGAGCACTGTTTTGGAAGATGCTCTAGAGCAAAATGCAAACAAAACTTGTTCACCTGGAATTTTGCCATGTATGACGGATAAATTAAGCCCCCATTTCCAGTCTTAAATTATACTAATTTAAGAAGTCAATCAATAAGTGCCAAGGAAAGTAACTACATCAGAATGAGATTAAAAGATATCATGTATACTAAACCAGCAGAGATGGCTTATGTGGCTGAAATGGAGTTTGCTGTCCATATTCTCTTTTTGAACTTGAGAAAGCCTTCAAAATGACCATAATCAGTCACTTCAAAGCAGACATGAAAGTTCAGCCAACAGACATTTGTTCCATTTTCATGACAAAGCAGATTTGGACACAGACACAACTGTGGATCTTGCAAGGAAGCAATGAGGGCAAGAGAGAAAAACATGAATTTCCATAACTAGCTGCCCCTCTGACCCCACATTTACTGCTTCAGGGCTAGAGACTGTTACAGACTACCATTTTTCATAAAAAAAGCAGGTCACAGGCCAGCCACAATTCACAGCACACACATTTTTCTTCTACTGAATTGCTGCTTAGCCAGTCACTCCTCATCTTGTATTTCTTCTGCTTTGAACACCCCTCTTTGCCCTTACTCAGTGTCGCCCTGCGATGCCACTGTATCAAGATCAGTGCTCATCCTGCTCTCACAGGGCCTAAAGCTTCCCCCAGCTTTGGAGCGTTGGCAGATTTTTATAAGGCTCGTCTGTACCTTGTCATCCAAGACATTAATGAAAATATTCAATAATGCCAGACTCAGAACAACATAAGTGGATTTGATTTCATACAGATTCCAGATTGACAGTAAATCACTGATAACTACTTTCCATTATAGTTTTCCCCAATTATTTTGCATACACATTGTGCTAGTTTCAAAACGATTTTCTTGTAAAAATTTTGTCTAAAMCTGTATTTGGAATATCTTATTGTACCAAAGTAAAAATGGAGCATATTTGATAATATTACTAACATTAGTAATTTTTGTCAGTGATAGCTGGGCATAAAGGATTAAATTTTTTTTTTTGAAATTCTCAAGGCTTTTTTCCCATTAACAGACAGTCATGATAAATTTATGAAGGTAAATGAATATTTAATAACYCAAAGAATACAATGCCACGACATTACTCTGTAGAAATCTTTACTTACATAGATATTTTGCTTTATAGAAAGACCATTATAATTCTAGTTATTTAGGCTTAGAATACCAGTTTTCCAAAAATACACTTTCTAATACACTTTACCTTAATGACTAAAACTTAATTTTTTTTTGTATGCTATTATAGAATGGCATTGTACTTGCTAACAGGAAGCAAGATAAAAATATACCCAAATGTAATTAAATTATCCATAACAGCCATCTGACTCTTTCTGCATGATGAAAATTCTTGCTCACAGCTCACAAGGAAGCTCAATTCCCAGAAGGTGGAGCTAGTTAGCAAGTCTAAAGGACAGACTACTCTGTTTTCACTCTTCCCCATTATAAAATTAGAATAGGCTGTACTGCTTTGAAAACAGAGCATCTATGAATGGAATAGTATATGGAAAGTGTAAGTCTATCCTGGTAGGCCTCGATAAGCTTGGAATATAAACAAAATTTGTAAAGAGATGATTTTAAAAAGTATTTTAAAAACCTGGTCCAAATTAATGTTCAGATTTTTTCTGCTACATCTTGTCACAAATCTGCTGGCAGGTGAAGATGCTGCTTGGCTGTGGAGAGGTGCAGGGTGTCCCACAGTTCCCACAGTTGCTCCTTCACGAGGAAACGGGCAGTTGGCTGAGACCCGGCTGTCGCTACAAGGCTAGTCAGGCACGCAGGGGTCTGCGACTTGCACCGCCTTACTGAGCGGCGAGAACTTGGTAGAGCGACTGACGCAAGGCAAAGGTACAAACTATAAATTTTGCATCTTGCACGCTCAAGAGCTCACATAAATGCTGGCCCTTTGGATYTCAAAATTTCTTTTGACTTAACTGCAAGTTACACATCTCTAAGTGAAGTACAGAAACAACTGAAGAGCTAACTGAATGAGTAACTGTTTCAGAGGGCACTAGGAGCAAGGAGATAAGCTACACGGAGACTACAGGTTGCTTGAGAGATAAGGGCAGGCTGTCCTGTTTGGAATACTTGGCTTCCAAAAATACCTAATACCTAATGATRAAGCAGGACAAGTCAGAAATCATGCAAGGCAGCCTTCAAAAAGGAAACTAAAACAAAAAYAGCCAAGCCAGACATTAAAATTGAGGATGGAGGGGAAAAAATTCAGAAGAAATGCTACCACTACGCAAGTAGCAAAGGATTAAAAGGAAAGAACATGTTCAGCACAAGCACAGGACAGATCCTGCTCCCAATTTTAACAATAACCTGTGAAAATTATGGTAGGATTTGCTCTCCGAGTGCTGGAAAATATTCTGTTAACCCACATGCCTGTACAAGCAAATGATCTGCTTAGCATCCAGTTAGCAATTTCTGAATGATAATATCCAAGCTGCAGTAAGCCAAACGGCAAGTTAAATTTGAAGTTTGGCACAAAAACAAGCTCCTGTGCTTTTCAAAATCAGGTGCATTGAGCTGTTTATTAAAACATGCTGGTAAACAAGCAGAAAATCTTAAGGTTTTGCAGTAGCACTCCTCTCCTTTTATCCTGTCAAGAAAGAAGAGGAGGAGCTAATTCTAYCACTGCTTCCTATCTAAAAATCACTACAAGTCTTTAAGGTAAAAGCAAGACTGTAAGATACCTCGAAGTGTAACTGATATGAAGACAAAAGCTAAAAGCAGCGTTAGAGGCAGAAGCAGGCACAGCCTCTTGCACTCCCAGCTGCAGAGGCCTCTGCAGGTGCACGCAGCTAAAACARCAGCAGCTACCGCGGACTTCAAGAACAACCCATTTCCTGCAGCAAATGCCCACCTCCCTAGCACAGGAACATGCAAGTAACCCAGGAGAGGCCTGAGGCCAAGCACACCGGGAAGCTGATGGCCCCTCATCAGAAGCAGCGTTAGGCAAACACCGATGTGCTAAAGGAGTAGGCAGGCTGAGAGACCAAGCGATCCCGGCAAGCAGAGCAGCTCCCGCGTGGCCGGCCCGAGCAACAGGAGGCCGCTGCCCCGCGCGCCCCGAGCTGCACGGCATCGCCCATCTGCAAGAACCCTCGCTTCAAGACACATCTCTAAGCTCAAATGTGGCTTGACCTCGCACCACAGAGCGGTCAGCTTCCTTTTCCCTCATTTTCCCAGCTAGGTCTCAGTTTCAGTCTGGGGTGAGAGCTAAGCTCTTCCTGAAGGGATGAGATTTAATCCTAACCGAAGAGAGCCACCAACCTGAACAGGCCTTCCTGGCATTTCTGCAGGTAATACAATAACGATTTACCTCAATTGCACAGCTTTGGTGTCCTGGGGAATGATCTTTAAGATCTACTATTCGATATTGATCACCTTAGACTACAAATGTGATCACACCAGTCAAGGGTGAAAACTGAAACCACTGCATAACATGTACACACAAGTGTCTCAGCAACTTGGATTACAATGGAAACAGAAGGTGATGGCAACAGCAGACATGAAGGTAAGGCCCTTATGTCTAAGGCGTAAATTCCATATATTCAAAACAAAGGAGTAGYGGAAAACCTTACTGTAAAAGTGCTGTGAAACTAGATCTGCTGGTAACTGAATATTTCAAGAAAAATCTGGTGATTAAGTGCTCTTMCCTTTCCGTTCACACTGGCTGTCTTTAAGGTGCCATCAATAGCTGAATCACTTTGAAAAAGACAGAGGTGCCAAGTCTTGTATTCTGGGCTACCTATAGCCCATTAAAATGACCCTACCAGAATGGAAGGGATGGGGGTTGAACAGCTCTCCTTTAAAATCCATTTACTCTTCCTGATTTATCCTGCAGAGGAATCATAATCCTGCAGCTGATGAAACATAACACGTTACCTTGGTGACTGATAACTCAAATTGAGCCCTAAGCATACACTCAAAGGTCAGACTGCATGAAAAGTTAGGCTAAGGAGGATATAATTCACATTGAAAGGGAAGTACAATAGAAAATGTGTTGCAGATATTTCAGATTTCAAAGTGAGCGTGCTGGAAAGGATGGGGATGGGGGGAAGAMGGGAAAAAATAATCACAAAATGTCAATCCTAAGACTGCAAAATATAAACCTATCCTAGCAAGTTCAGACCATGTATTAAAAGAACATCTCCATTTGTAGGAATATGCTATTATTCAAAAAATAATTGCCTTTTTCTATTATCTGAATGTGTGATGCATTTTTTATCATCTATTCTGTTATATGCTGCASAGTAATTACATCAATCAAGTTCACTAACTTGAGCTAACACTATTTTTCCCCTAGTTTAAAGCCTGCCCTTCAGTGATTTGCTCACATCCCTGGGTATATCCCATTTCTCTTTCAAACGGCAGCACAGTTTTTCTTGGGACCAACTCCAGGGCTGAGGCAGTTCCAGATCCAGTGCTCTCTCTGCAGCCGTACGCTTTCAGTATTACTCCCCTAGGTTGCATATTAACCATGGTGTGAGTGCAAGCACAACACACAGCAAGCTTTTCCTTCCCACGATGGTTGTGAACTGTGTGTACCTGACCTGTGAATTTGCATGCACAAAACACTATCATCGTAGCTCAAATCTATGGGTGTGACCATGTTGTTATCCTCTGGGCTGCCATGGGCAACTCCCAAGYCGCGTGCAGTCACCCTAAGGACACACTGGCTTCCACAGAAAGCAGAGGAGGAGAAGGGGAAGGAGCTCCGCGAAGCCGCTCGGTTCCCACCTGCAAGCCGAGTGCGCGGCACAGCTCCGCACAAGCGCCCGCGCTGCTCCCCCGAAGGGCACTTCTGCTCCTTCTAAAGGATTAGGGGAAGATCCTGCAATTATGGGCACATTTAGGAGAAAAATTTATCCCCGTGCCATAACACCTAGATGTGTTYTGTGTCCCTGGCCTGTCAACTCCAGAAAATAAACTTGCAGCTGAACAAAACAGGTCTCCTGCAATTTCTCACCATTACAATCACCATCATCACTTAGTGAGTGTTATTTTTCAGTCTATTTGATGGCCACTTACTGCAGTTCTTAAAAGGAAGTAACTTGAAGTGCCTTTCATTTTGTGCGCCTGAAGTTCTGATCAATATTTCAGCGGCCTGYGTAAAGTGTGAGCCTGAACCAAACCTAAGAGCACCCTTCTCTCTTTTTTACAACCGCAAGAACAATGTACAACACAAACGGACCACTGCTGGTTAAATATATCTCATGGCTTATACCGAAACACACAGTAAATGTACAGGGGCTTGAAGAGACTTAAGGAAAATCAGGAATCTCTATGCTTGAGGCTTTCGTGCTGTTCATCTTTTCCATCTCTTGCTTTTATGGACAGAGAGCACTCAAAGTGAAGCAAAGTACAACCCTAAATCACAGCTTCTTTCCTGTCCCAAGCTGGATAAACAATATTCAGTGTCCAGTCTTGTTCTGCAACTAAAAGGATGCTCAGCACCTGGGATACAGGCTATACATGTGGACACACGCTGTGGTAACACAGAGAAGAGGTTCAGGTGCAAGCGTAGCACCYTCCCTGCAAAACACTCTCCATCCTCATCGTCATCTGTCATCTGATAACAGAGCAGCATCTAGGGGGAGAGAGGAGAGTTGGGCACAAGAATAAAAGCAGCCTCATTCTTGCAATCAGAGCTGGAATGCTTGCGCTCACTTTTTAAGGACTGCTGCCAAGTTAACAAGTATTTTTACCTYACTGTTGAGAATTCTGTACCTTATCTAAGGAAGGTAGAAAGCAGAGAACCCTTGTAGAAAGCCCAACCGTGCTCATGCTTGGAACCTGCCAGCCATCACCAGGAAATACAGATGAGAATCTCCCTAGCAAAAGGGACACTTTCCTGGTACATGGAAACTTGCAGAAGCAAACAGAAAAACAATATGCTGTCTCTAGACTATTTGTTAAAAAAAATTTAAAACCCTCCAACACATCCAGATGGGAAAACAGGAATTCCAGGATCTCAACACAAACCTCTCATATTGCTCACTAACTACATTAAAAAAAAAAAAAGAAGTTTGCACCCAAAGTCTGGTCTGATGCATTTGCCACTACTGCACAAATAAGATTTCTATATATTTGGAATAAAAGTTAATAACTACAAATAGGTTGTAACAGCTTAAAAGCCTTAGAGTRAAATCAAGTCATAAAAATGTGGGGAAAGAAAAAACTGCAAAGAAAAAAAATAACAGAAATCAGAAAAAAATGGATTGTATTTTCATTGTTGGCTGAAGAGTAACACAGGGTTTGGCTCTGCTGTTCTCTCATGTGGAGTAGAACACAGGATGCCAAGGTGCTGTCTCATTTGTTGCAATGCACACAAGCAAGTTTTCCCYTCAGATGGAAGAGGCAGATCTTGACTCATCTGTACTGGGTGAGGACCACAAGGAACATCCTCCTAGGGAGGGTCACAGGACTGACATATCAACTTCTGCATTCACAGAACCACCACTTTAAGCAGGTTGGAAAACAAAGTTCAGGAAGCCTTTTCAAAAARCAAGAGCATTTACAGGACACTCAAATGGAACACCTACCTTTCCTTAAAGTTCCAAAGGGTTAACATTCCAAATCCCCCCCCGCCCTGAAAAAAAGAGTATATTCAAGTATAACCTAAAATAGACTCCCTCAGCCTTCAAAAGAAAGCACCTTACTTCCACAGAGTTTTCATGTAGCACAGAAGATTCAGCACTGCAAACAGTTCAAGTGCACAATGGCAATGCAATCCGATAAACAGCCTTCCAGCACGCAAGGCTGGGACTGTGCAGAGCCTCGCTACCAGCGCTCCTATCAAAGAGACCGGTGATTTTGCCCAATGGATTTTTCCCATTTACTCTAGGCAGTGAAAAGTGGGTGCTTACCGCCTTCGTGCGGCATCTGGCGATCTGCTGGCGAAGGGGCATTTTCACCTGCTTTGCTGCTGCTGCTGTCTTTTTCAAGCAGTCTGTCCACCATGGCAATGACGCAGTTTAAACTCTTGCCCACGTTGGCCCACACCCTGTCCTGAAAAGAGCATGAGTATCACTACACATTACTGAAGCAGCGTGGAAAAAACATCAACTTCTTCAAACACTTAACTTGGTGAAAAAGAAGTACAGATTACAGAAATACTAGCAASCAGCATCTTACCATTTTCCTCATTAGAGGGTGTACCAGCAGTTTAAGACTTTATCAGAGGCGCTTTTTTTCCCTACAGTGTTAAATGATAGAACTGTTTTTTGTTCCTTTGCTTTGGTTGGCTTTGCTTGCTTGTTTTTAAAGACACTGGAGGGTGCATATGCCTCAGTCTGTACACGAAGACACATGCAAAACTTTTTAGATCCAACCGCCAAGAACTAAAGAGTTAGACTATGTGAAAAAACACAGCTAGAGTAAAGGCTTTCAAAGCCTTGCTAAATCAAACCCTGTGTGCAATTGGTTTGCCATTGTGCTTAGCAGCCTTTTTTTTTTTTGACAATTTAATATACCCTCTATTTTTGCCACGTGACTTCTGTTCTACAGCTCTCATAGGAGCCACAGGCAGGACACTTCACTGGGTGTGTTACTAATATGGCAATTACAGAAACAGAGAAGCCAAGTTGAACAAGCAGAGAATAAACGAGAATGTGCGGGTGAGAGAAGCCAGGATGGAATCGAGAGGCAGGAAGGCTCTTTCAGATGCCATATGCTGCAGAAAGGAAACCTCCTACACTTACTCATGTGGGTGTATGTGTGTTGGGGGGGGGGAAATCAAGTAGCACAAAAAAGACACATCCAGTTTTAAGTCTGATAAAGCCTGGGAAAAGCACATGTGCTTTGCAACTGAATCACTCGAAAACAAGTGGAGATCAACCCAAGTTTGCTTGCAGGAGGAAGAGTGGCAAAAAGAATAGGATGTCACTGCTTTGCTTTCTACTTTCTGGCCCAGCAGCTAGAAGCATTGTGTACGTGTCGGGCTCCTCCAAGTGCACAAATGGAGTTTCAAGAGACAACACGAGAGAGGTCAAGGAGAAGAACCCAAAGCCTCAAGTCAGGCCACGCTGCCATACGAACGGTGACACCCGGGAGCCGCTCGACGGCAAAGGGAGAGCCACGATGGAGGCAGCTCCTGTGCCAAGGGAGCCACCGGCACGGGGCGCGCACAGTGAGCAGGGCGCCCCAACCAGCCCCACGCCGGGCTTCTCCTCGTCCATTCCCATAGGGGGGCCTGAAGAACAYGTGGACACTTTGGAGAGTGGGAGAATGTAAGAACTGGGGCCAGACGCCACCCGAGGCCCTCCCTAGGGCACTCCTGTGCTTTGAGCACACCGGTTTCAGAAATTGCTCCGGCTTTTCCCCTGCAGATGAGCATTTATCTTCACGACTTGTTAAGCAAGCTACACTGCCCACGAGAGAGCAAGGTACCCACTTCGCACCCCTTGTACAACAGCAGCAACTACCAAGCAAAGCTACATATATTTCACAATTATTTTTTTCTAAGACAGTCTCTATAGCATTAGATGCCCAATGCAAGAAGCGAAAATATCTACACCCATACACACAACCAGCCTACTGGATACCTGACTAGCTGGGATTCACATCCACAGACAAAACTTCAAACAAAGGTAGAGAAACTTCAGGATTTTAACCCCTTAGGTACCTCAAGCTTTTCTGAAAGACACAAGATCAACTAAATGATTTCAGGCATCCACAAGCACTAGTTTTAAAGAAGGATTCTATGGAGAGCAAGGGAAAAAAATGGCACCAAATAGTTACAAGATTTACCAAAGCAGCAGGGAACATGAGCCTTCCCAGCCACTGGAGCTGCTGAGGGCTATGTATAGCAAGGTGCTGGATGTATTTGCAGCAACAAAACTTCCCCTTCCTCTCTCCGCGTTGGGATTGTGCCGTCCCAGCCAACACCATCAGGTTCCTAATGAGCACCTGGTGCCACCACATAGACGATGCAAATGCTCCCTGTTTACATAGGTGAGCTCGCCCATCTCCCCTAAAACCAGCTGTTAGCTGAGCAGCAAGGTGATGCCTGCAGATTCACCTAACCCTTCCCCAAGGGCTTTGGGGTAAGATGCATGCACGTCTGTAGGGAGGAGAGCTCCCTGTCCCTAACACACACCTGGCTGTTTCACACACAGCCAAGTGGCACACAGGGAGCACAGGTCTGTCCTTGGGCTCTCCMCCGCTCCATGCGGGAGGATCTAGGATTAGATGCTGTTACAAGTGGTCACAAAACATAAATGTGTCTAGCATTCATGCTGACCTTAGCCTGCCCAGACTGGAGGTATCCATGCTTTTAAAAAGGACCCACAGAGTACTGCAGTTTGGAAACCAACTAAAACACAGTTTTCAAATGAATTAAAATGAAGTGGCTCCATATTCTCCAAGAGAAGAAATCCATCTATTTTGTATCCTTTCTCCTTAGTATTCCCTAATGTTTTCCTCTAGCCTAGCACATCTTCCACCCACATTTCACCCTCTCAAGCAATCTATTTTCAATTCTCCTAAGAGCTACTTCACAAGTGAGCATTGCACAGCATGCATCAGGGTAAAAGCAGAAAGTATTCCCAGTGTCTCTCAAGTAAACTTTCTTATGAGCCCTCTGTGCGAAGAACACAAGTTTTGTTTCTTGATGGACTGAAGTTTGGAGTCCCTAGATTCCTAAGCAAGATGTTTCTCCTGGGTGCTGGTTTTCCCCACCAGTTGCTGTGGGGCTAATGGGAAGGAAGCTACAGCTGTAGCCTGAGTAAACAAGAGGAACAAGGTCTCTAACTGCCTCTCCTTCCTGTTTCTTCAAGCTCAAAAGCCAAATGCATGACAGCAAGAGAGGAACCCTGCAACCCAGGGCTTGTCCCCCACTCTGGGACAGGTCAACAGCAGGTTGGCCTCTTCCAGGTTTCAAAAGCCACTCCGGACTGTGGGGTCTCCTGACACGTATGGCAACAGATCTGCATCCCCCTGTCCCCCATGGTGACAGTTACAAATGCTGGAGACAAACTTCTCCTGATGCTTCTGCTGCAGCACTGCCAAGTGCACGCCCATACTCAGGGCAGCTTTCATGGAAACTTGGGCTTTGGCATCACAGAAAGCCAGGCACTTCCCTAAAGGCATCGACCTGGAAAATAGTTCCCTCTCATCCAGCCAGTCAAGGAATGCAATTCGTGCCCATCTGCTCTGGAAACACCTTTAAAAGGCCATTTCACAGGGAGCGGGCAGGAGAGGAAGCAAGTCYCCTGTCATCACAGCCTCCCAACGCACAGGCCCAGCAGAGCCCAGGCCCCCATATCCTGCATTTCCAGGACAGGCATCTCCCACCTTGACACAGGGCAGCACCGTCGCCTGCGCTACTCGTGCAACCTGTTCGTTGGTCGGGGTTTCTGTGTGTTGCAACTGTGTTACAACTGGTCACAACAGCTRAATTCCATTGGATACAAAAGCAGCAAATAGGAAACAACTTTTTTTTCCTTCCATCACAGGTGTTCAACAACATGCACTCAAGAAAATTCAACATATTGTTTTGCAAACATTTGTACTTAACTCACTGGAAATGCAGTTCTATCATAACTCTTTTAATGCTTTCATTCAACTCCAGCCCCATTAAGCAGTGAGTCAGCAACATGGAGCAGACCTGGGTCCGAGGTGCCCCCTTCCCTTGCATCGTGCACGCCAAGGCTCCACTCCCCYCCTGCGGGGAGGCTCCAGGACAGCAGAGGCAGCCGGCAGGAGCAGAGAGCATCTATSCAGAGGCCATCTGTAACTCTCAGGTTAAATATTTCTCCTGAAACAGTAATGCTTTAGTACTGCCTACATACAGTGCTCCCAACTACACAATATCAAGAGCTCAATTCCTGCTGCTGTAAGCTATGCAGGGATGGAAAATTCTACTTGGTACCAAAGTGGGGAGGTGCAGCAGGGCAGCATTGCTGAGCACAGTAAGGGGCCAAACGCAGACCACGGGCCCCTCAACGGAAGAGCAGCTCTTTCCTCGTGGTCCTAAGGCAGCGCAGGTACTGGATACAGCTGGGGCCTCCTTGAGCTTTGTTGGACATCGCTGGTTTAGCTTTCAAGCAAMACTGAAACTGAAATCCCAGTTACAAAGTGCATCTCTAGTCCTTGAGAAGAGTGGGAAAAAAAGCACAGCCAGCTTCCCAAGGCAAGAAATGGGGAGAATGCCCGTACACTGCATACACAACACTGCAAAGCTCCCTTTTAGGGCAAAATTTCAAAAAAATATTTCAAAATTTAGAAAAGAGGAGATGCTGCATTTTTTTTCAACTTGACTAGCACTTTCTCAGTCTTCCTGTTATGCTAATGAAAATTCCTTCATTAAAACTAAGGTTGTGTTTTATTTCCACTGATAAACAGGAAAATAATGGAAGCTTAGTATTTAAAATTAGGGGGAAAAGATCAACTAAGATGTACAGATCTATACTGTCCGAAGTGTGACAGTGACTAGCTCTGCTTTTAAAGGCAGAAAATCCTAGTTGGGCTTTAGTTTAAGCAGACAGGTAAGCCTACTAAGTGGACAAAAAGAACCTCAGATACACTTCAGTCGTGTTTACGTGCTTTAGTAGAGAAGGGGGCAAACATCTACCACACCTTCAGAGTCCAGCTTATAAATAGTCCATAATGAAACACAGCAAAGGCAGCTTCTTTGCAAAGGCAAGAAGAGTAAATTAAAGCTTGCCCAGAAATACTCATTTTTTCTAGAGCTGTAAGGTTTCATCCCTATATTAAATCTTTTCTTGTATTTATTTCACTAAAGGTTTCTACAGCTGGAAACAAATTAACATTTTGGCCTTGATTTCAAGTAAAGAACTACTATTCTAGCCCCTGAGGATGTAGGGAAAACATGAAAAAGTGAATTCAAGACTACAGCCAGAAGGCAAATAAAATTACTTATTGCTTAAATCTCATGACTTCTTAATGCGCAGGATCGGAGATAATTGTCTTTTCTCTATATGAAATAGATTCCTCTTCCCTTATTTGGGGTATAGATAAAAATTACAGTTCAGGTGTAATATATAGTAGCTCAAAGTGATTAATTATTTATAACAGATGAATATGCTGGCATCCTTTACATTTATGAGAACACATGATGAACTGGGTGTCTGAACCTGAGCTGAATAAAAATACCTCAAGAGTTCAGGATGTATGCAACAAGGAAGCAGATCTATCACAAGCATCCACTAAAATAATTAAGTCACAAAACTCTCAGCCACATAACTAATAAAAATCTTGGACAGATATGCTAAGAACATAAAATCTGAAAAAGATGAGGTTTCTTGCACAGTTTCAGATATAGTRCTGCTTAAGAACAGAGTGTAATGGAAAACAGCTTTACTGGAGACAATTCATATTTATGATCAATCTTCTCCAAGAAACAGAAGAATTGTTTTGTCATTTCATCCCATGTCTCTCCAATCTCCTTTAAAATAACTATTGAAACAAACTCAAGAAAAAAAGGAAAAAAGGTTATTTTCCTGTCTGGACATGATGTTCATCATCCTCATCACTATATGCACAACCATGTGGTCACACTTGAGAAAATTTTCAGCTTTGTTTTAAAAGATATTTATTTTTGAAATGTCAGTAGTTTCAATTTGATGGAGGTATCTGAAAATGTCATTTCAAGTTTTCACCTTCTTTCCCCTCCTAACAAAACGTGGCCAGACACTAGAGCCCGTAGCCGTTCTCGCGAGGCTGTCGGCGGTGCCGGGCGACTTACCCACTCCTCCTCGTCGTACTCGGAGTGGTGGGGTATGGAGTCCTGTCGCCGCAGCGGGGCCGGGCGCTCCTGCCGCTGCGAGTCCCCCCGCTCCTCGGCGCCGTCAGGGGCTGCCAGGGGCTTCTTGAGGACGCAGCCGGGCCGCGCCGTGTAGAGGGCTAGCAGGGCGCTCCGCACCAGCTGGTCCTTGAAGGCGTGCACGAATAGCTCTGTCTGGAAGGGCGAAACAGCGGGAGGCRTCAGCCGGAGAGAGACGCTGGGCAAGACAGAAACGAGAGCCCCCAGTGGTACCTGGAGCAGCCCGGATGAGCCTTCCGGGGCAGGCTGCGCAACGGACAGCAAAGCAAACCACTCTACAGCAAGGCTTTGGGGGATACCATCACATCCCACAGTCCCCTTACCCTAAGGATTGGGATCAAAGCACTGAACTGTTACAAACATCACCTCTTTACACCTCTCTTATTCCTTCTTTACGAAAATAGTCCTCTATAAGGACCAGGTTTAAGAGCACCTAGCTCAAGGAATTTAACAGGAATTTAACTCAAGGAATTTAACAGGTATCAGATGAAGCGTGCTTAATTATAAGTTTTTTTTTTTTAAATACTGAATACATGATATTTGGTATTAAGTTGCACTCAGCACAGTTGAGTACAAAGTGTTTGCAAGAGCAGCATTTTCAGGGACGAAGGATAGTAACTGTAGGTATCCACCTAGGTAACAAAGACAGGTGACAACATCTGACTTCCAGCTTGCTTTCTTTAAAGAATCATTTCAAGTAGTTTTTCCAGGCTTTCTGAAGACCTTATTTAATCAGCAGTCGATCATTTTCTGAGTTTTTCTTGCTGGCTGTGACAGCTGGAGGTTCGCTTTTCTCGGTATTGAAAAACCTCCAGACKATTCCCATTGCCTCACCCTCCCCAGATAAAAAAAAAACAGTGAACCCCCGTGCTTTCTGCATCTGTTTTTTCACACCTCCAGACAGTATCTCCAGATCACAGCGTAAACTGTTCCACTATTAATTTTCAAAGTCATTATCAGGCCACAATCAAGTTTTAATATCAAATGCAATATCTTGTAAGCAGATAACCCTGATAAAGAACAGCATAACACTAGTCCCACGGAATCTCCTTCAAAAGGCTTCTGCAACCTCCAAAATAAGCAGGCATTAACTATTAGTAGAGAAGACCACAGTCCCCCTTTTCAATAGTGTATTGTATAGCACAAAATYGTTTTCTCTGGTGCTTGGAATTTGGGCAGACTCCTGCTTCCCTCAAGATGGGCCCTTTCCCAAAGCACCACTGCCCCACATGGGCCTGCCGTGGGTTGCCCCTCACTGGCAGCACCGGGTGCCACACGACTCCGGGGCTGTGGAATGGCCTTGCCGGTCYCTGCCCGCCTTGGGACTCCGACTAAGCTGCCTAGGGGCTCTTCATCTTTATTAGGCACCCACGCAGCAAAGCGTGTGGATAAGGCCAGAGCCCCCAGCCTGAACAGGCGCGCAAACCCAACCAGCAAATGCTGGAGAGGAAGGCTGCCCAGACCCACTTCCTTCACACCTTCCAGGTTTCACATGCAAAACCACTAGCAGAGCAGCAGAAAAATCAGCTTCTACCTGCCTGCAAAGCTTGCTGCCAGCCTCTGCGCTCCTTCCTTCTGTTCCTGTCCCAGCCTTTTTGCTAGGACTCTGCTCAYAGACCTCTCACCTCCTCCTGCACTTGCTTTCTGTCCTGCCTCCACCCCAAACCAGTTACTGWCCATACTGACCTAAATATTCCATGGCTTCCTCAGAGCTTCCCTGTCTGGGCCCTTCAGCACCGAGCCCAGGCAGTCCCAAGCAGCCCAAGAGGACGACTTCAGGTTCCTGCACTCAGTGCACATACTTTACAGAGAAAAACCTACCTCTTTTTTCATACTTAGATGAAAGTGTTTCTGTAATTAAATTGTATGTGAGGATTCTGTTGGTTTAACAAACTACATCAAGTACATTCTATTGCTGCTAAATACAGCTAAATTTGCAGAGCATCACCATTTAAAAAACTGTATTGACATCAGAAAAAAATATACAAAGAAATGCCAACTTTGCAAATTCTTTCAGATACTTGACTACGGAATATTTCTGCAAATAAAGATAGGCCTAGCTTGGAAATGAATTTACCAAGACTTCTGCAAGCTGCAAACACTGATACACTTGTCAACAGCTAAAGGCTTCTTTAATCAATTAACAGAAACCAATGAGAAAAGTCTTAAGAAAACACTACAGCAAATTGCACATCATACATGGAGAAGCAAAACCATGCTGAACATGATAAAATAAGCAGCAGAATTATTCCATTTAATTTCCATTTTCAATGCAGCCTGTCCTTCCATTTCTAACAAAGTATTTGTCTTAACTGTAATTGACATCTTGTACAGCTCAGATAGGGTTACTAATACCTAACATTTTTAATAAGAACTGCTCTACACAACAGGCTCAACCTCACCTTAAAATAAAAAGTCTAGACCTTATGCTTTTGTGACCAGCTAGAGAAATCTCATCACCAGGGACATCATTATATCCTAATTCTTCAAATAGCCATTTGCTTTTTAAATGCACATCAAGTGAAACTGATTAGATTTCTCTTTTCCTCAAAGTSTGGGAGAGCAGAGGCATCTGAAGCACACCAGGAATGCAGGTGGCATCACGCAGCTTTACCCYGAGGACATTCCAACTGCCTAAACCCGGCCCAGATCTCCTGCGCTGATGTGCCACCCGGGCTGCAGGCAGAGCTGGCCGGGGGATTCTTGAAGCCCCACGGAGCCCTGCAGAGAGCAGGGCGCACGCGCTCGCGGGGCCTCCTGCGCAGCCGCCGGGCACCGCACGTGCCAGGGGCTCCATGGGGGCAGCCGTGGCCCCTGCCCGGGGCTCCACAGGGCTCCGCAGGCAGCAGCTCCGCTCCCGGGCGGAGCGGCTGACACCACCGGCTCCTCTGCTAGAGGCCCCGAGCAGCCGCCACGCGTGGCTCTTGCTTCTCCTGTGCACGATTCTTCTTTGCCCAAACACTTTTGACAGAGCAGCTTTGCTTTCTACATGGCTGGCTAAAAGGGGCTTTCTCCAGCACTGCAAGGAAAAAAAATGAACTATAGTTTCCCCCAAATCAACCACAACTCCTTCCTTTTGTTTCCGAATAACTTTTTCTCCCCCACGCAGCGCTGACRGGCCCAGCGGCCCCACTGCTCCGGGCGCTCCTACGGGTGTCGCRCCCTGGCCGTGTGCGTCCCTGCTGGCCCCCAGCACGGCTGACGGGCAGCGCAGCGGGTGGCCGCTTCCCCACAGCCGGGGAGGCGCTGAGGTGATGGCTCACAGYGCTACCGACTCAGCCCGACTGAGACCTCACTGCAGAAAATACCGCGTGGGAAGTGCTGGGAAGGCCTTTGCAAGCTCTCGGGTCACAGCTATAAGTGCTTAATATTTTCTTAGGATAACGTACTCTTCAGTGTCCTGCATCAGCTTTAATCCTCAATATWATTCTCTCAGACAGGTGGRAAATTATATATTCCTTAATTTAGARCTAAGAAAACTAAGACAAGAAGTCCCTACAGCTACAGAAGAAAATAATATATGAAGGATTAAAATTTGAGATTTCCCAGCTCCAACTTTCTAGTTCTCCCCTACAGATTAGGTTGCCATTTCTCATCATTCTACTATTCTAAACCTCACACACAAGTCAGGCTTGAGTCATCTAAGCAGTAGCATGAATTATCACAGAAAGTAAAATAGCAGCTTGTCACCCTACAGATTTTATAATAAACTAATTCTAGTAAAYCTCACTATACAGTTATTAGAGGATAACATATGCACATGAAAGAAAATTTTTCTTTCAAATAAAAACAAACCCTGGACTTATAAACTTCATTACCTTTCATATGGAAAGCCTCAAGAAAAGCCTAAAGAAATAATTGCCTTTTTTTTTTTTGTTTCTAATGGCAACATTTGGAAGCTTATTTTCAACAGCATACTTAGTGCTTCCTGATGCTACAAAGTCAATTTATGCAGAAAGAGAGAGCGGTTAGGGATTTGGCTGTTCCATTTTCCRTTGCAGGAAGATCTGCATCTTACTTTTTCTGAAAGCATCTTTAAGGAGCTCTTCAAGCTGTCTGGAGAACGCTGGCTTGCAGAATTAAGCAGCAGGTCTGCATGGCTTGATATGAGAGGCTGTAGATGATTGATGTTGCTGAGAACTTCTTTTGCCTTGGCAGTGTTTTCAGGTGAATAATAAATACACTGGTACCCGGTACTGTAATAACAGAGAAATGGTTGTATAGTGTCAACATGGTTTCTGCTATTAATAACAATGCTTACATATAAAAATTATGCCACTGATACTGCCAGATGACAGGATACACAAACTTCACTGATGTAACTTCTTCCTCTTCGGTKGAAGACAAGTCCTTGCTTGAACATCAGACAACAGCTGCCTGCCCTGCAAAATTGTATTTGTGTGACTGCCTCTCCTTTTGAAAACTCATCCCTTATTTCTGTTCCAACACTTAYTAGTTAAGCAACACCTTTTATTTCCTTCCTGAGAAATCCCCCTTTCAAGCAGAGGGCCTGCTTCCTGATCCTTGGCTGCAACCTGCATCTTCCCACACGTCTCTCTCGCACACTGCCCTTCCCTCGGCCCTGCCTCACGCCCTCAGGGAAACTCACCCCARTCTTTTGCAGTTCTAGACCGTGAACTCTAACGCTAACACAGAGGAAAGAAACTGGATGACATCCTCAACTTAGGKGCTAGCCATTCTACAGCTTTGCACTCAGTCTGGCTTGGCAGCACAGAGACTGTATGTGATTTCAACTCGGCTTCACTTTACTGATCGATCACTCAATGGAAAGCTCAAGGAACAGGGGAAAAAGAAACTAATAAACTTCTGGTTTAAAAAAGGCCAGATGTCAGGCAATTCCAACAGGGTGTACATAAAACGCTGAGCCAGCTGCACCTTGCAATTACTTGTATTTTTTAATTATGTAAGCAACCCACTCCTGGAACAGGACCAGCGACACAGCGGCCTCTAAACTCCCTAGTTGCTTCTGTAGCTCCTGTAGATGGGGCAGGGACAACATCTGAGCAATGCCCTCTATTAACTGTAGAAGGAAAGACTCTAAACAGTCTGGATGCTGCATGGCCCCAAGCGATCGCTCCTAATCCTCCTGTGCCCCGAGCTCCAGGCATCCCTGCTGGAGCAGGGGGGTTGGACTAGATGATCTCTAGAGATCCCTTCCGACCTTAATGATTCTGTAATTCCTCTTGCAGACTTCTCTCTCCCTCCATCAAGCAGCTTTTGCAGGCCAGGCAAGCGCTCTGCTCTGCCAAGCTTGCCGTGCGTGCAGCCCTCCCGGGATTCCCCTCAGCTCTCAACTCCCACGTCCTGTCACCTATCGCACAGCTCCAAGCTCACATAAATACTGCAGCAGGAAAGCTACAGACAGTGCTATAAAAGAGATGGAGAGAGATGCTAACCCTGTGGGGAACACTACTCTTAATTCTATTGTAGCTTTTAAATACAGAATATTAGGAAGATAGAATGAATCTTTTTTCCAGAATGTGCTTTTAAAAAAACAAAAACAAACAGTTGTCCTAATATAAGCTTCAAAAAGGGAATTACAGTTTAGAGCCACCTCTTATGCTAGGGTAAAGGCAATGTGGGAAGGTCCCACGTGTGAAATCAGCAGCACTCTGAAATCTACCCTTGATATGTAAAATCTGGCATTAGGAGTTACGTCTCTTTTGATAGAGTCTCTAATGACATCTGCATTACAGGGTCAAGTCTCACATGTTTCTCTGAGCGTTACCATCTCGGCACCGGACCATCCTTGCCTACGTACCCGCTGCTTTCAGCGGCCATTCCACTTCCTGTGATATTCAGCTTTAGTGGTGGACATGCAATTTGAAAAAAGATTATATTGATTACAGCTGCAATTTAAACTCCAAATTAACCAAGTTTTTGTATGAGAACAAGTACTGCAATATGCTCAGTATCTAATTTTTAATGACACTCAGTAACTCCACTCCTGCAGTTCATTAAGTCATTTGTGCAACTGAGTTAAATTGTCACCATCTGGGACTGGGTTAAAAATCTCTCAACAGTGAACATTTGACCACAGCAGTAACTGGGGAGGTTAAAACGCAGAATGCAGCTGAGGTGCCCACAGCAAGAACAGCTCCCCACCAACAACCCTGTCCTCATGTGAATTACTGAAGCTACCAGTCRAGGGAGGTGTAATTTAAGCATCACATATAGAACGACTGAAGTGAAGAGTTATGATAAAAACTGATTACAACAAACACAGACAATTCACTGCATCAGGAAATAAAGCTGAACTCTGCGACCAGTGCTGACACTGTAAAAATAGGCCCAAGGGAGCTAGACGGAAAAAAAMCACCGGATTTTTATATCCCCTTGAAATGTGAATAACTGACTTTTAAGGAAAGGAATAATACTATCAGTCCTATCTGGTCTATCTCCGTTCATGAAGTTGGGGCCTCCCTGAACCCCACTCGAGAGGCTTCTTGCTCTGCAAGGGACAGTCCCATCTGGGGGCTCCCCCAGACCCCTTCCTTGTCCRGCCTCAGCCCTTCTCCTTCACCCCTGCCCAAGGAAACACAACAGACGAGTCTGTCCAGAGGGTCCCAGGCCCCCAAAAAACACCACGAGATTTTTGTACATCAAATGAATAGTAAGAAAATCGCTCCAGTTTCTCTGTATAACTTCTAACAACCTTAATACAATGATTTTAGCATTAGTGCAAAGACATTCATCTGTGATGTCTCATCTCCCACATACACACACACTTACCTGTGCACACAACAAAAGCAAGGAAAGGGACTCAAAAACAAGGTCTTCCTGAAAAAGAAGACCTTGCCTGAAAAAGGCCTACACACAACTGGCTGCTATTTCCTTTTAAGAACACACACTACTATTAAACATAAATCACTACTATTTCAATATTTTTGGACTTTTCAATGAAACAGTACCTTTTCCAGTTTTAGAGAATGGAAATGGATCCAAGTTGACAAAAGATGGTAACAGAAACCCCAAAGATCTCAGCTTTAATATGAAATCTCTAGCAATGAGCACATTAGTAAAGGAGCACCTCTTGTCTTAAAGAAAGAAAAGGTCTTTTTAGACAATTCAACCCCTGAACAAATAATTACAAAAATTACAATAAAAAAATCTATTGACCACTTTTTCAGCTTTCAGTTTGTGCTAATTTAAAGTAGGAGTATTTCTAAAGAGTCTGTTCAAAAGCAATGCACAAAACCACAGTGATTCACAGAACCTAATGCAGTTCCTAGCATGCCTCCATTTTTCCTGACGTTCACACAAGGACATTAAACATCCTGTCCTCCAAAGCTTGTATGTTTTGGCTAAAGGTCAAATCATCAAATTAGTTTTTAGATGCGAGAAAGAGTCCTTGGTGTATCTTGAAAGGGATTTCTGAACATTTATAGTAGTGAGGCATGAGTACAACTCGCAGGATGTCTGACAGCAATGCTCCCACACAGCTGAGCTCCAAAAACAGTAATTGGTTGGGCTAGACTGACGAAAACATAAGTTCTTCCAGCTGCTGAAAGGAGACGTAATCCATACAAGCGAGCAGAAGATCTAACCTGAATAACTGATTTACTTTGTCATTGAATGTATTTTGTCTTTGCTTGTGAATGGGTTATAAAACAATGGGCTTGTCTTAAGTCCTCTATTTAACTAAAATCCTTACTCAAGATGCTATTTCAAAAATGTTTGTCATAAATTAAATATATATATGGCTTGCTTGGTGGTAACAAATGAAAAGAGCTGCAAAAGTGTTGCATTTTTATTCTATTACTGCACCTTCTTTCCTCTGCACAAAAATATATTCTATGCAACTGCAAACGTTTGACTTGTCTTCAAGCTGATACATGTATCTTATGCATGCTTCTGTTTGATAAACTTTCCTCAAAAYAGACATTTCACTGGGTTTGGTAACAGCACACAATTCTATTCTTGAAAATGGGGCATCACCAGCTTAACCTTTCCTCCTACATGCTAATTCCTCAAGTAGAGGTTTGAGCACAGTAAGGACATCCATTTGAAGCCAGGTGTATTTGCTGATACACTAACACTGTGAATATTTCAATAAATTGTTTTAATACTGAGCCTGAGGCTCAAAGGCACACAAGACATTCTGTCACATGCACTGATAATGATGCCTTGCAAGCTAACAGGRCCTTCCCAGATTGGCTTGAAAAATGATCTTTTTCTACATCTTTAGGGTTTMAGATCAGTTGCCTAGAGAAAACAGATGCAAAATCTGCATTTTTTTTCCCTCCCCCTGTTCACTTTRTATTCTGACTGATACCTCAAGGTGTCACTTCTTCCTTCATCCCAAGCCTCAGAAAAGCTGCTCCCATTGTAAAACAGAAAATTTAAATTGTAAAAGCTGCCACTGGAAWCACTAAGTGGCCTCAGAGCATCCTTATGCAGTTAAACAAACAGCTGCACACAAAATGAAGTTGTCATTGCCACAGCRAAAAAAATTCTCTGTGGTAAGAATGAAAACGGTCCTTTCCATTACTTATTTAAAGTGCTCCTGAATATTCAAGCGAGWGAGTTGCTCTTCAGAGGCTGCTTTATGCCTTCCATGGGCAGGACCCGCATGGGCCCAAAGASGACCAAGCTGCACGCTGGGTCTCCTCCACGCTGACCCCTAGGGCAGATGGGAAGAGGAGCCTTGGGGGTTCCTTCCTCTTTACTTTGGGACAATTCGGAGACTTAATGATCATTTTTTCTGGAATTATAAACTACTGTGATTTCCTTTTGTTTCCATAGCTAAGTAGTATGAGCAAATAATGCCTTTCCACTGACAGTTTGCATTTTCTTAAATCATTAACGCCATTGAGAGGTTAATGCCAACTTCTGCTCAACTTTTAAATGAACACTAGATTTTTAATAACGTCCCATTTKATTAACATATTCTGCCTGTGAAGCTTTAAGCATTTAACCTAACAGAACTAATTTTCTTCTGGCAGACATAAGGAACTCATACACAGGGCACGTGTACGCTCCAAAAGCTTTGCCACCGACTGCACGAGTGTGCACAACTCGTCCAAGTGCTGCACAGTCACAGCTCCCAGAGAGGTCAGTGACAGCTTTGGCTGCTGAAGACTTCTGAACAGCCAAAGCAATACATGCATACAGACCTCAAATGCTTAGCTAACAAAAWATACAAATAATACTGCAGGATAAGCTTAGCAGTTAACATAGAGTACTTAAATACAGTGCTGAACTGAAACCTTAGTGAAGACCTTGATCTTAGGCTTCTTATTTTGACTTTCTGAAGAATAAGAAAAATATTATTTTCTTTCTGCTTCACAATGCTGTCAGAAATGAAGATGCTACCTCAAGCTATTGTTTATTGAAAAATTGTCTGCAGATACTTCCTACTTAGCACAAATATTGCAGAAAAGGTGTCATTTTGAACAGCATCTTTTCAAGCACAGGTATTCCTCAGGCTCTCTAGAATATAGGAGGAAGGCGTATCACAATTTTGTTTGCACTCAAACTAACACTTGCCATTAAACAGCATAATACAAATTTGCATTCTAGCAAAAGATAAACTATTTTATGAATTAATTCTTATCTGATCGTGCTAGATATTTTAGTCTAATGCACAGAAGCGAGTCTGCAGTTTCCTTATRTATCCTTAGCTCCTTCCGCAGATACGTACTTTCGCCTTTCTGCCTCAAATTTGGTGAGCAGCTTCCGGAGGCCGCCGTTCTTAAATCCCTGGCAGTGCGCGGCCGGCGCTCCCACGGTGACGACGTCGTACACGGCATCTGCAAGGGGAACACACAGACCCGGCATCTGCAAGGGGGAACACACAGGTGCTGAGATGCGTGGCCACTGACGCACAGCCCTGCACGGCAAACAGGGCAGCAAGGGCATCTTTCACAGCAATAACTGAGCAGCTGCCTCTGGAGGGGGCAAGGAGCCGATCCATCTCACRCGCAGAGCCGCCTGGGCACCTTACACCTGCCTGATTTATTGCTGCCTGCAAATCACACGCCGCTGTGCAGAACAAGCTTCTAGCTCTGTGGTTTACCAAGTTGCCAAGTAAATTGGCCCTTTGTGTATTTCACTTTATTACCTCCTCTTCTATTATTTAATATGCAGTCACACTGCAGAGCACAGGCATGCATTTTAGGGTCAAAACGGACCATTATGATGGCGTGATCTGGCTGGGGGAATAGTACAGACTGCCGGCTTGCAGCCTGGGATTCCTGCAGCTAGTGCATGACTTCTGCCTGAGCAAAGGCATCTCTGTCTCCCTTTCTGAGAAGCAGGACAGAGYGCAAAGACAGGCACAAAGGACCACATATGAGTGCGTAGGCAAAATCTAACCTTGGTTTAAAGGCTTCAGACAACAGTGAATTCACTGCAGCCCCACAGAAGCTGCTCTGAAGATAAAATCAGCCTACTAGTAAAGGTCTACATGTCATTCCTAGTTTAAATTTTAGTTCTCACTTTCAGATCTAAATATCCTTTTAGTGCTAAATTGAAGGCTGCTATTCGCTGAGATTCATTTACCTGGGCTGTCTGCACAGAAAGCGGATTCACAGCGCTCGGATTCAGCCGAAACGTTAACACAACGGGAAGCCAACTGGGCACAGCCCTCAGCTGCTGGGACCACAGGGCTGCTGTTACTCTGCGTGTGACATTTGTGACATGACTGATGAACTTCCCCACAGATATAAGCTTACAGAGCTGGAGATGAAACACCTTTTCAGAAGGAGCCTTTCATTTGGGGCTTGTGATTGATTTTCAGTGCAGAGGCAAAGACTTAATTACACCCAAACCTCAATCGTTATTCCCTCAAAATCTTGGTATTCACATTTGTACTAAGCAGCACCTGTGTTACATCCAGGCTCACTGGAAGCACAAAAACAGGGGTCAAATTGAGGCATTTTTAAAATGCGTTTCTAAAGGAAACCATTAGAGAAGCCTTTTTTGTGCACTACTTTACTCATCAAGGAAGCTTTCCATGCAAATTAAAATCTAATCTTCTCCTAAAATAGAACTTTTCTTGCATTCTGATGATAAATATCCCTAGAAGCAAGAGCACTGTACAAATGATTCAGTTAATGAACTGTGCTTTACTTCTGGGGCTGAATTTCAGACAATATTTGCTCAAATTGACTTGAACTCTAATGCATTTGTGGCTCTTCTATTCCTGCCGAAGAGAAGCRACACACGTGGCTTAGCCTCAGGTGAGCTTCAGGGGTCCTAAATTGCCCCTTCTACTGGCTCTTTAGGGACATTTACCCCCTAATCCACAGTCTCAGGCAATTAGAGCTCCACCATTACCTGATAACAAGCTTTTAGCAGCAATGGCTTGAAACCAAAGTAAGAGGAAACCATCAGGCCAACCAGGTGAATTCTGGATTCCACCCAAGCTTTTCCCTTAACAGAAGGTTTTAAAATGACCAGCCTTAAATAATTAATCCAGAATTTGTAGACAGAATATACACAGATCAGAACCTAAGGAAATTAGGCTTCAAATAAATCATCATTTCATAATTATTGTGGCTTGGAAAAAACACACCCATCTCCTGGTGATACGTGTGGAGCATTAACAGCGGCTACCTACTCGGCACCAAGTTACCCCGGGCTCCTAACTGCTGCCAGCCCCGGCTCATCCCTCCTGCCACAGAGCTCTGCAACACGGTGGCACCACAGGGGCACAAGTTCAATAAACCTTGTCTTCATCCAACCAATTTCAAGAGTTGAGGGATCCCCGTCTCAAGCAGGGCTCTATCTTGGCTTCAAACCAACAAACTTTGGCATTTAAAATAGTGTTATCAGCCTCCTGCTGACGCGCAGCAGCAAAGACACTCGCTGCCTTGCAGGGCAACAGGAGCCAGCAGTGAGTCTCCAGGTAACTCATTTTATTTCTAACACGCACTCATTTCAAACTATGTTCTCTTTCCCCATTTCTTTGCCAAGAATAGCCTTAAAAGGTAATATCTAAGCAAGGATATAACAAAACTATGGCAACAGTTAAATCTCAGTTCTGTAGTATGATGAACAGCGGAGGGGATGTGATATCTACCAAATGGATCGAGCTGCAACTCTCACACAGCCAATCAATACTTCTCTCAAAGCAGTGTCTGCTACAAGTTTAAGCACACRGGCACTTTCTATTCCATTTTCAGGACCCAATACCAACCTGACTCAAAGTTCCACACAAATAAACCTCTTACTCAACACATTGAACAAAAAAGCATATATCCAGGGGAGCACATCCTGAGGAATTAACACCTCGCTCACGTCCCAGGGCTCACCGTGCCCAACAGCACACGGGGCAAGGGCGGCTCTAGGGCTCGGCAGCTCCGCTCACCACAAGCTGAGTGCCGGGGTGCCTCCAGCCCAGCGCCCCCACGTCCCTGCTGCCTCCTCCCAAAGTAGATACATGTAGGCAGGAATTCCATGATTTCAATATAAATTCTTTGTTATTGCTTTGCAATCTTGAGTGTAACTAAAACAGTTATCTACTTGTCATGTCAGTGGAGCAAAGGAACATTATCTAAAGAAAAATGGCAGTTTTAAAATCTAAAACAAAGTTCTAAATTTAGAAGATAATTCCGACAATTATTGGTATTTCATTTGAATTAGTCATATCTCACAAAGAAACAGTCTTTGGAAAAGAAATTTCATTAAGAATAAAATGTGGGTAGTGTAAAAGTTGTTCTGGATGTTGGAATTGGTGCCATGTTTCCTTCTTTTTCATTTACCATAATAAACATGTAATGTACCACACTGCCAGAGCTGCTTTCAGGAGAAGGCAAAAAGTTAAGGTTGGGACCACTTGTAGACATTATAGACCTAAAAGGACTTTCTCCAAACTGAAGGAAAATGGGCAAATGCCAAATTGATACCCAAAGCAAAGACAAGAAATAGTTAAATAGAGACTTCCTAGGGACTTCAAACAAAATGAGAAATAGAACACACTGAGCCAGTAGGGTAGCATAAGGTTTTAAATAATTAAAATGCTTGATTTTTTTAGAATAAAATACACAAAAATATAGCGATACAGGAAGTCTCCTATATCAAGTCATACCACATGAATGCTACACAAGCTAACAAGCTACACATTTGGCCAAATGAATCTCAGAATTATCCTTATGCGTAAGTGCATTTCTTACCAAAAAACACTTGCCCGCTCAATGTTCTTTCCAAGAACTTGGAAGTTCTTGGTCCTACTTGCACACAGATTTATCAAAAYAGCAGTTGACCACCACTACTACTACTTTCACTGCTTTTGCCTGAACCATCTTCACAGTCCCTCTAAACAGTTAAATTTGCTAACAGCTTTCTGTTATGTGTAAACTGACCAACATCTGCCCYTCTGCCAACATGCATTTTTGGTTCTACTTTGGTTATCTGAAAGCATGTCCGTCTAACCTCCATTCTTGAAAACAGATATACAGATGAAGATACAACTTAAAAGGGGCCAAAAAGGAACCCAGTCTTCAAATTCCAAGTTCCATGGCATTTCAGCTGGCACTCTGACACACTTAGGAAACAGAAGATACCCTACCTTTCAAGCGAGGACTATGCACGTGCATTCGTTGCAGGTGAAGATTTATTGGAATAAATTCTAATGTTTTTTCTCCTTTGCTACAGCTTGATTTGAAAGAAGAACCTGAAAAAAAGAGAAGTTTAAAGAGTCATCTTAAGCATGCAGCAGATATTTTGTCTTTGTTTTTATACCAGGACAATATTTGCATATTAGCAGCCTTTAATTTATTTTTAATGGGTAACTGTATATTAGAAAAAGAATGGTTCACTAACCGAGTCSCAGCATGCACCCATATTGCAAGCAACAAAACAGCTTTTAATTCATAGAACAACCTAATATTTTAGGTGATAGATATTTTTCCTGATGTCTGAAATTGATCTGCAATATAATGGAAATGATGCTACAGTTAATATATTATATTTATGCTGTGCTAAAAACACAAGGCACAGAGCTATGACAGTACCTTTTCTTGTCACCAAATAACATGTCTTGTTCTTTGAAGTCAAAATATTACATTGACTAGGCTTTGTATTCTTCCCAGAAAGCTTAAAGAATCATGAGAATCATGAACTAAAAAGTCAGTATCAGAAACAGCACAGAGCTCTAGGTTGCATTTTTCAAATTTATCACCAAAAAGCAAAAACTGAGATTAGGAGTAGGGATTGCTACTGGGATATACAGGAAGGTAACATAAGCCTGGCAGTACAAACCCATAGTTTACCTGAAGATATTTAATAGGACACATACAGGAAATCAAAAGGCTTACATTTGGAAAGAAAGGTTTCCTCATTAAGAAAGCCCAACATCTACTAATACTAGTTTTTCAGCACTTGATTATTTCACTGAATGCTAAACGTCTGGCCTAAAATTTCTCTGATTCAGCTAGGACTTTTCTCCTCCACAAAAAAAAAACAAAAAAAAAAACTTTGAACGGATTAAATCCAAGGAAAGTAAGCGTTTCCTACATTAAAAAAACAATTCTAGCGACCATTGCTTTGGTCTCCAGATTCAGCACCACCACGGTCCGGAGCCCGGTGCTTGTGCTGCGACTCCCCAGGAAACGTGGCTGTTCAGCGGCTGTAGATACTCAACTCGTTCAGGGAAGATCTGCTCGAAGCCCCTCACTGCAGCGGCCGCAACCCCAGCAGGACGCGCTTGGGCCTCCCACGGCAGAGCACCTTGCCAGGGAGCACCGAGGGGCCCCCAGTCCWGGGCTACACAAGCACCAGGAAACGTCTGCTCAAAAGGCACAGAAAGAGGTGCCTTACTTTAAGTGGTGGGCCTAAGGAGAATGCTTATTTTAGTAGCTTGGAGTCATAATAATTTTAACCAAGACTAAGTGTTAAAGTTGCATAAAAATAATTGGTAGTATCAATTCAGATTCAGATTTGACRAGAAATCTGGGGGTGGAGACTGAAACTGGGCATCACCTGTGACAAAGAGCAGCAGCRAGAAGCACAAGAGGAGCTAAAGACAAAAATGGGAGCAGGCAACAGGCCTAAAACTACATCAGCAAGGAACCAGAAACAGCACAGGTGAGGAGACTGCATCTTTGAGGAGGAGAACAAGAGGAGGCAAATCATTTTGGGGAACTTATCTGATCAAAGATCAAAGCTTGAGAAGCAATTACCAGGTCTGGAGCAAAGAAAAACTGCCAGAGAGTAGGATGAGAACAGATCGAAAGGGATGGGCCAAAATCAAGAGGACAAGAGCAGAGCCTGTGCTCACTAGAGTGAGTGCCTGCCCCAGAGCCAGAGCAGCCCCAGCGCAGCATCTCCAAGCTGCCTGACCCCTCTGCTCAGGGCAGCCCCATGCAGTGAGAGGCCCTCCCTCCAGCACCACGTGGGATGAGCGCCACTGCTGCTCTTGGYCACTCAACTCAGGTATGAGATCCGCACAGCATGAGAGATTTCAATAGTCAGTTTGCCAATATTAGCTTGCTTTTTAAAAAAAAAACACAATTAAGTTGTGTTAAGACCAAGTAAAAAAAAAAACCTGTTACGACAGTTATTGTTGTTGCAAGACTAGACTCTTTGAAGTTAGGAAACATCAGAATGTCAACAAGCTTATGTAACCTTAACTTGGCCTTCACTGGAGTAGGAGCCACAAAAAAGACTTTAACGCCACAGCACATGCCAGCTTCTTCCACCTCCTTCCACATGCAGGATCTGTGGCGCTCACTTGGGAAGCAGCAGTTCAATACCAAGTTTCTAATTTTTACTTTGATACTTAGACTCAGCTGTATTGGTTAGACCTTCTAAAACAACAGGAWTAGTCATTTCCTCAAGCCTGTCTGTCGTACTCATCACTATAGTCTCCAAGGGTTTTACAAATACTTACAAAATAATTTTAACTCTGAAAAAAAATGCTATAATTTCACCCATTTTAATAGCAGGAAATAACTAAAGGTTGGAGCACTTGAACACATGAATACAAGATGTGGGGGATCTGATTCTGCAGATTCTGCCTTAATAGAAGGTGCTTTGTATTTTGGAAGCAGAGCTCCCCTGGACTTGAGTTACATCCATCCCTTTACTGCAGAAGCCTGTCACACTTTGCAGGCTTCCAAAAAAGAAAAATCCACAATGACSCCAAAATCCACTCCTCAGAAATCTGACCTGCCTCATGTCACACAGGGACTTTGGGGCAGAGACATGAATAGCAACAATATTGAATTGTCTTAGCCTTGCCTGTCATCTCCTTCTGGAGCTGCAGAAATAATAGAATTTTGGGTACAATGACCGAACTGGAAAACAAAAGAAAAAACTCAACACACCACAAATCAGGAAAAGACCATTTCAGGTCAGACTGAAAGAAAAAAGTTCTATAATTCTACTCCCTCCCAAACTCACCAAGTATTATAGATTAACTTGAAATGATTTGCTTTGTTCTTCTCTAACCCTTTCAGAATTTTGTTATATTGCTTTTTTGAAACAAAAATATTTAATATTTTAAAAATTGCTTTCTATTTTAGGAGATAGACGTGTTCACCAAAACAACATGAACATAAATTGGTCCTAACTTCTCTAACCGTCCATGTTTAGCGACTACACTGCCAAACCAAAACCGCTGCCTAATGCAGTCTCCTGACCCGCTCACTGCAGGCTTTCTGTTTTCAGAATACAGAGGGCCACGCTAGCAGCAGCCGCCTCCATTCAATTCCACTCCCTGTCCACTTGAGGGTGAGGTTGGCACTCCTAAAAATGACAATTCATGATCCTAAGAGGGGAATGGGGGAATACTTTGGCAAATCCTTTTCACATATGGTATCTGAAATTGCCTGTCAGGGGAAAAAAGTCTTCCCTGGTGCTAAGGAAAGGTGTGATATTTGTATCTAAAGGACTCGCATGGATCCAGTCTCTCAGGACAGTATTGCGGGTGCTGAGCTACCAGTGGAAAAGCCACTTTTTCCAAGACAAGCTGATGTTCAGCTACAGGCAAGGCGATCACACTAGTGTTATTCCTGCTCTTAAGGTACCAAGGAGGGAGAAGAGCAGCCGCCAATGTGTCAGTGCTTCTCCCTGCCCTTGGCTGGACAGCAGCGAGAAGAGCCAAGCCAGGGCCAGAGGTGAGCGCTCCATGGCTTTCCATAGGGAATGCAGCCAGCTSGCTCTGCCTCACAGCTGAGCCTCCRCAGGACAGCAAAGCTACTTTGGAAACCTGCACCTGGGACCAGCCACAGAAGCCTGATCCTGCTGAGGACAGCCACCTTGCCAGGTGCTTGCCCGAGTGCTGCCCAGCACAGGCCAGCCCTGCCAGGGCAGCTTCCCCAGCAGGAGCCAGCCCAGGGGCCGGGGCAGTCGTGCTCCTGGGCACAGCACTTCCCAGCTCCACTGCAGGAGGCTGGGAACAGCCTCATCCAAAGCTCAGGCAAGATGCTGACTAAGGTAGCTCCAGAAGGCTGCAACAGAGGCCCACGTCAAGCAAAACTTCTCGTGTGAATTTGTGACTTCAGGAAAGTAAAGCCTGCGTGGAAATGGAAACACCTGGAAAGACTGGATCGAAGTTGTATCCACACGTCCAGTTTTATCATTTGCTGTGTTGTATCTGAATTTGCATTCTCACATGTTYTCTCAATACTGCTTTTGTGCAAATACAGTAATGTCTATGTTGGCCTTGCTTTCATTACTAAATTTAATTAAGTTATAGGTATATCTTTTAGAGATATACCATTCCCCTTTTCTCATCTGATTAACTTTTGCTAAGACAATATTGTAATACATTTTAGAATATGAAGTGCACTTGATCTGTGGGGAAAAAGGATTTCAGCAAAATGAGATTTTCAGCCTTACAGACAGTAGAAGCAATGCTCTGGACAATAATGAAGGTTTTTTTTTTTTTTAAACTCTAAAATCTCTTTGCATCTGGATCAGACACCTGTAACTCTCTCCTGCTCTTTACCATTCCCTCTCTCCTACTCCTCTTTTGCYACCTTCCCCCCTTTTTAGCTAAATACTAAATATCTCCATTTCTAGCTTTTGCAGTCCTCTATGCAGTCCCTTCAAAAAGGAGTAGTGACAAATCTCTGAATATCATACACACAGAAAATAGTTTTCCAGCAGCATATTGTCTGTACCTGAGTGTAGGCCTCTTAGTTCACTTGTTACACTTTTTTTTTTTATCTTTAGTATCGTTATTATGTTGGTGGTCGGGAAGGGGCTCGTGGTTTTGAAGACACAGGGGAAGATTGCTCTTCTACCATGTGCTGCTTCTGTTCTCCTTCAGTGACTAGAGTCACCTCAAAGCACATTTAAGTCAGTTAAAAATCACCAACTCTCTTCAGATTCACTRGGCACATTACAGACTTTTCAGGATTTAAATTTACTTTTTTTTTTTAAAGTCTCAAAAGGTCATTTCAATAGTTTCCTGCAGAYGGCAACTACTGCACTGATTCCTTCATAACCTTTTTATTGCTTTGAACATAGTGCTTTATGGAAAGCTTACAAAAGGTAATTAGTAAAGTATTAAAAACTCCATAAATTAGTTAAAACACAGAAATACAGATGCATATTGTTGAAGAGAAGGATTTGCCTCAAATACCAAATTCAGCAAAAACACTGAAATAAAAAACAAGACACCCCATTCTGTAATAAATATATATATATTCTGCTGTGCATTTCAGTTGCATATTAAGCTAAAAACTCATTGCTCCATTTCTCACAATGTATCCAAGTCTTTTTTATAGACTTGTATGTAGAAAGCTAGAAACAGTTACGAAAATATGTTTCCCCTAGATACATGAACAGAATTGCAAAACTGATGTCTTACTATAAGTTCTACTTYCAATTTTGCAATTTTTCCTACCTTTAAGATATGCCTTTTTCAGAAACACTCCAGGCTACAAACTTAGGAATATGTAACAAAACTCAAAGCTTGTTTTACCTCTCACAGGCACAAAATTGTAGGAGCAAGGCCCTAGTGGAAACATCAAATGGTAAGGAAGCAAATATGAAATGAAAGAGTGTAAGCACTAATGTGAAAACACATGCTGGGGTGGGAAGTGTGAAGATCAGCAGCAGAAATCCAACACTAGCAACAAGCAGCAGCAAGGGCTTCTCTGCTGTGAGGGTGACAGAGCCCCGGAACAGGCTGCCCAGGGAGGCTGTGGAGTCTTCTTCTCTGGAGATCTTCCAAACCCACCTGGATGGTGCCCTGTGTCCTGGTGTCCCTGCTGGAGCAGGGGGGTTGGACTAGATGGTCTCTAAAGGTCCCTTCCCACCTCAGCCATTCTGTGATTCTGTAACAAGGCTCTGTAGTCAGAACAACTGTGCCCGTTTCTTCCATGCATGAAACCATGTTATAAACAAAAAGACTTGTTGTCAGTTCCCTGGGTGATGTGTGCGCCATCAAAAGAGAAGAAATTCAAAGGAACAAATGCTTTGTTCTGAAGGGGTCTCTTGCCTTTTTTTTTTTTTTTTTAAATGAGTGGGAGTTCCTACCAGAGGAAGTGACCAGATGCCTTTTCTGCACATTTGTCACCACTGCTGTCATCTTTAACTGGCATGCGGACATGATGATGCATTTCAGCCCCTGACCACCAGCCCTGTCACATCTTCACACAGGAAGCACCTGGGACACCTTGGGCACAGGCTCTGGGCAGGACAAGCCCGTGGGGCACAGAGACCTGCTCCTGCATCACAGCAGACAGCCTGACCCATGGGGACACTTGGCTTTTGTGGCCCGCTGGGAACAGCAATGACTACGCTAAGAATATGCGAATCCTAGCTGCATGTTGCTGCTATACAATATGCTGCTACGTGCAGCTTGAATTAATTTCAAGGAAAGTTGGCAGAAACTAATTGGTTTCAGTTGGCAGCCAGCATCCAGCACTTGCAGAGTGCTCTAGTTGAGAGAAGGTGCAAACAGAACAGGCACATCCRCTTGCCCAGTTTTTTTGCCTGCTGTATAAGCACTAACTGCAAAAACCTGCTGAGAAGCATGAAAAAAATTAAAGAAAACCTGCAAATATCAACCAAAATAYTTTTTTCCCCCCRTGTTTTACTTCTGCTGAATATTCAAGTATCAAGTGGCAATAAACCTAGTTAATTCTTAACCTGTGCAGGAGAGAGGCAGCTACTTTCATACCTGTATGCTTTCCGAGCTCTGCAAGAGTATCCTGGTACAAGCTCATCATCTGATCACAGTGAGCAATAACATTTTTACGCATATTGTCCCAGTGAGGAGCAAGCTCTCCCAGCTCCTTAAGTTCCTGATTCCTGTATCAAAAGGCAAAAAGAGATGGCAATAATCCAAAAACTTTAACAAGTATAAAAACCATTTATTTACTGAAATAAATAACTTGGGTCTGCTTTCATGGCTCCTGGGCAATTCCCTGATTTCCGCTGTTTTCAGCCACACAATGAAGAATAAGGCAGGACACACAGTACTTTTGTGCTCAGAACTTGTACAAACGCAACAGGCTGCAAACTTAAATAGCGTTTTTTCCCTGAAGGTGGGCTGGGCTCCTCCAAAGCTCCAGAGTTGTTTTAGCAGCAAGAAAGGTTTCTTCTTTGGCGAAGAAACATTAAATGCTACTGTAAATGATAAAAGTTCACCTTTTTTTGTGATTTTGGTACTCTTCGCATGAATTCATTGCATAGAAACCAATTATAGCTCCATTTCTACAAATGTCCATCTAGCCAACATACAAGCAACCCTCTTTCTTTACCSCAGAAAGCATTCCTTAATGCCCACTCTCCAGCCTTGCAGCTGCGTTCATCAGGTCAAACCAGCAATGTTATGGAAACCAAACAGGACACTGAAAGCCCGAAAGGAAATCCTTTAGTAAATCACCCGTTTTCCTGTACGTTCTTTTGAGAGGTGACCTGAATGAAATTGGGATCACTTTAATTTCCTACACAAACAAGCCCAGTTGCAGTGTGCGGGGCAGCCCGCTTGCTTTCCCCACTTCCCACTTAAGTTCATCCCACGGCTGTTGTTTTATCCTGAGGGSTTCTGCTTTAATGAAAATGAAAGACCTCAAGTCTTGAACTGTTTGGAGTTGGGCAGAAGAAATCTTGTGCTACATGATCCCATTCAATCCCAAAGTATCAAGAAAATTAGTTAAAAAAAGGAAAAGAAAAATCCATCCAAGAACACAAGACAGAAATACAGCAAAACCTACAGAAGCAGTTCTGAGCACTAGTCACCAATTCTTAAAATTATTTCTTAAACACAGTCCCACACGGATGCTTTTCCCATCACTACTGGCTTTGTGTTAAGGAGCATTACAGCAAGTCACACAGGCGCAAAGCTGCCACAGCCACCATCTGACGTCACTCGCAGCAGGACTCAAGCTTTTTGTTTTATGTTTTAAAAAGTATCAAAATGGGAAGAAAGGTACCCATGCAAGACCTCACCGAGGATTTCGTAACAATGTGTGATTGTTTTTTCCCTGTTTTACTCACATGAAAGATGAGTAGATCAATTCCATTCTCCTCCATCCATACGAAGTCAGACAAACTCAGGCAACCAAACTCAACATCCTTCCTGCTACTTTCAAAAATGTGTCATCCCACTGCACCAAAATCTCYGAGTTTCTCCCTAAGAAAAGCTCAAAACATTTGACCTGGTATTTATTTGAAGTGAAGGTATCTTAGCTCTTAATATGCATTGAGTAGCTTAGTTTAATACTTTTGGGGATCAGTGCTCAGACTTGACTGAGCACCATAATGTTCCTCCTCCTTGATAGCAACCTATTGTTCTGCCGAGAAAAGAAATCACACAGGGAGGGCTGGATACCAACACAACGCAGGGAATGTTCCATCCCCTGGGAGATCCCTTCCCTTGCCTTTACTCCGAGGGCCCAGGTGACCATTTCCACCCCAAACACCCATTTCAGCCCCATCCCCTCCTGCAGTTCTCAGCTGGGGCCTTCAACTCTGTCCCCACCACTGCTGGGGCTGCCGGGCCTGCGCTCAAGGCGAGCGACAACAGGAGGGGCACAACCTCAGCCCGCACCCGAGCCCGGGACCCGGCTCGCGCTCTGCCGGGCGCTCAACTCCACAACGACACCGATGGGAAGGGCAAGTTCAAACTGCTCTGGATCCATTCTAACATGTTCTCCAAGAATGTCAAATCCTGCTCTCATCATTGTGAATGAGGCCTGTATTGACTGCATCTCAGAAACGCATCACTCAAGTGAAAAATACAGCCTCAGGTGTCTTATAATACCTCACTCCTAATCTGTAAGGTTTTATTAAAGTCATCTTGCAGCTTTACAGCAGTCTGGAACATGAGTAGCATGGRCATTTTAAGTATTTGTTTTGTACATTTATTTTCAATGAAAAAGAAAAGGTATACTCACAAGTATGAAACACAAGCATTATATGAATTAGATATTTCTCAAAAACAGCATTTTTCTTCAAATGCAATAATTCATTGAAGACACAGTTTTAATACTTCTGTGTCATGTGAATTCTTTTTGTCAGTGCTGCTGCTCAATCACTACAGYTTTTCCGAGTTACTGCTCAAAAGACGACTATCATTCTTACAACTAAGCCCCATCAACAATAGTACTACGCATCACCACCACCACTGGTCTGCACACCCTCAGAGCAAACAGACTGAAGAAACATCATATTTTTCCATATTAGAAGTCTACAGCTAATAGTAATATCCCGAATACCACCACAATCAATCTTAAAATTGCCCTTTGTTTCAATAATACCCTAAGTACTTTGCACTGGAGCTTAGTTCATCGCACAACTTTTGCGATGAAAGCGCACRGCAAATAGTGACCACAAGCAACAACGGTGTCACAAGCCACACGACACAAAGTATTAAAATGAGGAAATTAACATTCATTACATGCATTGGTTCCCCACAAGGGCAGTTTTTGGGGAAGACTGACCTTTTCAGTGCAGCTAGGAAATTCTGCACAACTTGTCAACACCGCGGCCAGCTCAGTGCAGAGCAAGCTCAGGGCTGCTCTAACAGAGCTATTTATCTTGCTCTTCCCCCACTGCAAATCCCCTCTCAGAGCCTTGTCTGGGTAATTGGACACATCAGGATGACAGATCTTCTGCTCTGCATCAACTTCCACCCCTCCTACGGTATCAACTCCGAGCTTTATCTAAATCTTKCTATTTAGCTCCACAAACCACCTTCGAGGTGGTCTTTTTGGAAAAGATGCTATGGAAACTCTCAAGCAACCTTCCCTCATCTCCTACCTCCATCAATACATCAGTATTTTCCTCTGTGGCCTTGACGTCCGTAATCTTGAGCCACTTCCACCTAATCAGAAAGCTGATGTAAGCAGCCTGTCTCAGTCCTCCTTTGCATTGAACACAAACCAATTACTTCTATTTACATTTTTCTCTGGCACTTTTACCCTTCCACATCAGTTTTTAGCTGAATTAGGATTCCAGCTTTATCTGGAGCTTATGATTTTCTATTAYGGCTGAAAGAAGCTTCTTGTTAAACATGTACTAAAGACCTACTTTTTTTCTGCCTTTCTTCCAAGCCTCCCTTCTGCTATCCTGGTAGAAACAGTCAGTGCTGGCCGCCACCGTGCTGAAAGCCCTACACGTATCGCTGATGGAAAGCGGAGCCCAAGGACTGCAGGACTGGGCACATCTCTAGGACCGCAAAAAAAATGAAGTTGTCTCTAGTACAGCAGTCAGAGAGCTAACAAAGCTACAGGCATTTCTGGTTACAAGCAAGYTTCCAGTGAGTTTGGGCACTCAAGGCCCAAATTAAGATTCTGCCTTTTGATTTATTCACTCATGGGATTTTTTTGTTTGTTTTTCACAGTGCTGGCCTATGGTTATAATAAATGAGTTAGGGTACCAGAGGCACACAGAATTTCCTTTATTATTCATGTTAACAGTCTCTACAGAAACTATATATTAGGCACACTAATGACCACAGCAATAAGGGGGAAAAAAGTCTCCTTCTGAACTATTGTTACATCTTCATGCCCTRTGGGATGAGAGGTCTAAAGCAAAGACATTCAGTGCTGACAAACCCCAAATAATGATTTCTGGAAACAATAYTTTGACTAGTCATATGCAACCTGTTCTAAATGAACTGAAGAAAACAGCCTAAGGCCAAAATCAGGGGCTCACGGAATTGCTGAGCAATCCCTGCCCTCGGTCTTCTGCAGCCCAGGTGCCCCTGTGGAGAATGCAGYGAAGACCACGGTCAGTGACAAAGGGAAAATAAAGCAGAAAGCAGCAGCGAGATACTGCAACGAACAAGATCAGGAGGAGACGGTGTTCCCTTGGAGAAGGGTTTTGGCTCTCCTGCCTCCGAAAAAAGGAGCAATAGGAATAGCAGATTGCTTTGCTAAGGACACAGCACAAATCTTCACAAGTTGACAGATGTAGCTGAAAAGACCAGAGTAATTTTTAATAAGAAATAAGAGGAAATACGATAAAAGCACATAAAACAAAAATGCTATGTGCAGATAAAATAGTAACTTTGACATTCTCAGTTTCAAAATTCAGGGATGGGATTTCTAAGGAAGCAAATATGACTAATTCGAGGCTAAAAAAGGTTTTTTCCCTTCACCACCAAGCATAATGAGCTTGGGAAATGCACTTTCCAAATGCATCAGAAGCAAAGTGCTTAGCAGGATTCAAGACAAGATCAGACATTTGTGCAGATTATATTTTCAAATGTTTTATAATATAAAAGCCAAAAAGTTGTAAATATTTAACAAACAAAAGCTTTGGAGGAAATAAAAAACATAAGCTTTGGGGTATGAGCCAATCACTCACACACAGGAAGCTCAGAGCTGTAACTGCGCTTTATATATTTTAGAAATAAGTAGCCTAGGAATTATTTCTGTCAACAAATTCTGCTTTAAAGGGTACACATTTATTGATAAACATTTGTTTCGAGTCTGGAGAAAATATCAAAATTACCATCATTTTCCTTTACAGACAGAAAGTCCTGGTCCTACAATTTAAAGGCAAGAAGCATCAAAACAATATATAACATTCTCTCCCGAAGTAACAAGCCGAGCCTTTTTACTATGGTCTTTCTGAAACAGACAAGTAATTGCAGATGGGTTTAATCCCTTCTGGGGGAACTAACACAGAAACAAATAAAAGGACATTTGTCTTTCATTCCTAATGATTTTCATGTAGAACCTCTTGAAGAGGGAAACTACTTTTCTCCTCTTACAAAAATCTCAATAAAGGTTTCAGGTTCTGATAAACTCTACTTGCCAGGTAATCAAGAAATAAAAAGTAGGTCATGTCCAACAATT